CTGTTTAACGTTCATTGATGTGTAGTGTCTACGTTGAACGCTTTTAAAATATTACTTGAAATACTTCAAAGTTGGCAATACTTGCAAGATAAATTGACTTATGTTCAACACTTAAATTTGCTAAAAGGATAAAAATATTATATAATCTAAATAGTTATATGTATTAAGCGGCATTTCTTCCTTCGTTTTGTTAAGAGCGCTTAAATTTGTGTAAAAAGGTCATGTGGAGAGTTTTATTATTGTTATTTTTGACGTAGTCTGTTCAGTATATTTCTTAATAAAACATGTAATGGTTTAATAAATATTCCGATTCAAGATTAGGACATTAATCGAGTGATATTTGAGTATTTAATATAATATTCAAATATAATTTTACCAACACACTAGTAAGTGTAGCAAAGTAGTAGCAAATGCAAATGTATAATATAAATTTCATTTATAACAATTCAATGTTACCAAAACTATTCAACTTTTAACTTAATGAAATCCCACATTAAATTACATAATAGAAACGTGACTTCAATGAATTGAGCGTGGGAAAATACTTATTAGTTGTCTAAAAATAACGAACCAAAGCTACGTGACAATATCATATCAAGTTAATCAACTAAGTGTGCGGACACAAATATCCAGGCATTTTTAACCAGGCTATTAAATATATACTTTACACTTGATCGTCGCGAAAGCAGTAAGACTTAAAATCGCATGCACGTGATCTCTTCTTGGTACAGCTTTCGGAGTGAAAAGAATGTTCTTCGCAAGGAAAATCGCACTTAAAGTGGCTAAGCGCTCGAGACCACGTGAGATATCGTTTGTATAACACATTACATACATCGTCTCAAGCTCTCAATGATTCTCAAGTGTTTTGTCGTTCCAAGTGGTTGCTTTTGGTTTTAAAACACAAACAAATTGACTTATATGTGAACTTTAGTAGTTAAAAATCTATATATCCAAATCACTGTTTTTCGTAGTACGTACATTGTGATAGAACGTTAACTACGTCATAGAAAAAAAAATATTTTCCGTAAGCGGTTCAAAAAGCTAATGACTACCTATTTGTATGGATTAAAGAGGTATGACTACTGACTATGTCGTATGTCATAGTCTTAAACCATAAGCGTGCCGTATAGGTGAAATTAACAAGATAACCCTCCGTGCATGTGAAACGGTAAACTGTTAGTCGACTTAACTGCCTTACTCATAACTTTAATTGTCTTTGGTCCTAGTATCACTCAGCTTTGGGTCCGTAATAGATACGAATATTTGACCACACCATCGTGTGTTAATGTATGTCACGCGAAAACTACTGTGAACTAAAACAGTTGAAAATGTGACGGAAAGTAGTAAAAAATGTAATGATTATCAGAACCTAATCAACTCCCAGTCAAACTTCATAAAGTTGTTTATCCTTGAATGGCAGAAGATTAAATAATGTGTAGGTAGAATGTGGGTGAAAAACTGGATAGAATTATAGCCAATATTACCCCGCCCATTCATAATTACTATTTTAAATTAGACCAGTTTTATTTAAAAACGTTATTGTATTAGATTACTATAAATAAATAAAAAATTAAATATCTTTATTATGGAATAAAAGATACAGGTATCACTTATTCCACGTTATTAAATTTGAATCGGTAGACATCCCTACTCATCGGCAAAGAAGACAGCGTGTAGGCCGAGAGAAAAAGTCGGCGTAAAAAACTCTCGGTACTCTTTCAAAATAGCTAATCATCATACAAAATGACTATGGCAAACGACACTTATTTAAAAACAAATATCCCAAATTAATTAGAAGTAGCCTGACTAGCACTAGTCCCAGGCCCCATATAAAAGACTTCGTTATATTTGCCCAACTACAAACCGTAACCAGCTTTGTATTTCCCAATAAAGTATCATTAAAAATATTCTTCATTAAGGCAACCCAGATCGAGTGCGGGGAAAAAGTTTTTCAAAAACTATGTCAAGCTTATTTTAATGAATGCATTTCGAAATATCCCAGCTCAGCCCTAATTAACATTTGACCTGGAAATCTTTTCATGGCAGCTCTGAAAATAGGTGAAAAAGGTATTATTGGTGGTTCTACAGTTTTATTCAGACTTAATTTGTAAAGTGAAATTTTGAATGCATATAAATATAAAAATTAAGTTGCCAAAATTAAGCGTTTGTGTAAAAGTAAATGTAAATACTTAATATCTTTATGATTTCGATTATCTGTAGTTTCTTTACACGTTCTCGAGTTATATCTTATCATCAAATTCTGAGTCGAGACTTAAGACATCGACAAAATCTCTGCAGGCGAACATTGAATGAGCGGCTCACTGACTCGCTGCAATAGTCTCCGCCAGGATGCCGGTATGCACCAAGGCCATGCAGATTGTATTCCTCCCGGAGACCTCGAAAAGTCTGTTACGCTCTCGACTCCTTGAAACCTTAACAGAAATATTTATGTATTTATTGACTTAATGCTAAGTTGGCCTTATGTGCAAAGCATATTGGATTTTGGCATACGGGAGTGTAATTATAGACATTGACATAGACATAACATTTATTACTAACAAAAACACACACACATAAATACACAAAATAACAATAATCAAAGAAAAAAAATATAATGAGAGATATAAAAAAAAAAATTGTTTTTCCTTTTCCCATTCGGTTCGTTTCAAGTGTGTAATGCGTGTGTGCTGTGGTTGTAATTGCCCTGGCTTAGCATTATGCTGAGGAGCAGAATGTTCCACAGCGCTGGTCATTCTGCCAGAGACCACAGCAGCTAGTTAATTAGTAATTACACATTACAATTAATTCAAAGTAAGTATACTTTGAATTACACTGTAGGTAGATAACTTCAATGAAATCTTCAAACTTCGTCTGTTTATTGTGCCGTTATAGTTGTTGTTGTTAAGGCATTGTAACTATTAAGCTAAAGAGAAACAAAAAACATAACAACATAGATTCATTCGGGCGTTAATAAAATCGGGTCCAAGGCGCTCTTTATTTCTCAGTGGAAGTGGATAATTATTTTTAATTGTCGTCAAGAATTTTTTGCGAAATAAAACAATGGCGTCTGTCTGTCGCCATGATGTTTTGATTTCTTAAGTCCCTAAGATTTCGGAAGACTGTTTGAGTTCAAGTTTCTTATCTACGGTTATTTGGTAGAGAGGTTCATGTAGTCAGTAATTAATATAAGTATAACGTTGAATTAATAAAAAACATATTTTCGAACACGAAATATACATGAACAAAAAGTCGTCTTATTAAGTCAAATTAAGCAGTATTAATTAACTCTTATGTTAAGATTTTTATGTAAAATATAGGCTAAATAATATGTTCGGCGATTAAAAAGAGTGGCGGAGAGTTTATTGCCAGTTCTCTCCCGTTCTACGTCCTTGATTTGAGAACTGGCGTAAATGTAAAATTAGAAGCATTAATATGTATCTCTTTACTGACGAGTCATAAGTGTAAATGATGTTACCTATATGATTAAACGATTTTTTTACTTTTAAAAAATAATACATCCTTTAAAAATGCCTTCAAATTATCTAGATATAATAGTGTATATACGAGTAGATTCTTCTATGTGTGAAATTAACATATGCTCTTACGGTGAAGGATATCGTGAGGTCGCCTGCGTGTCTTAAAATCATCGGCGCATGACAGCCCGTTATACAAATATTGTAGACTATAACAATTTGTCATCTCTCGTTACATTGTGTAAACCTTGTAAAGTACAAAGCGCCACTTTAATATTAATCACGGTTATGCGCCCACCTGTGTCCTGACTCCTGACATTTTAATAATTAATGACGGATAGGCGACCGGCTGTTGATGACGTCACTCCGTAATGACCGGTTGTGACGTAATATAGGATAGACTAATACGTACTAATTTGTTTAATTTATTAGTTGTGTACTTCACGAGTTATTAATCTAAGGAGAAACTATAGTTTTTAAAATGATAGGTTTTTAAAAGAAGTTGCCATGATAATTTTGTTACAAGAAAATTTATGGTATTAAATTAATATAATGCATCCATGATAGGTTATCTCTACGTCGGTTACCAAAGTGTGATTCCCGGCGCTGATCACCTATTTATTTCTTTATGGTAACTGAACCACGTTGAAATGTGTCTGCCGCATTAGTGAGGCTATTAAAGAAAAATAACTTCGCTGTGAAGCTAAAAACTTCCACATACATGTTTAAAACCGTTCATTAAAATAACGAATTAAGCGGAAAAAGCGCTTATAAAAACGATTAAAAAACATCACTTTTCCAGTCCACCGCTTTACGGTCTGTGTTTGCCAAACGTTGTACCAGACATTGTTCGGTGGATTTTAATTAAAATCAAGTTATCCGTGATCGATGGACGGACACACGATATTCTCGTTATGCTTTAGACAAATTGAGTGTCACCGTGTCGAGGGACGCTCCTATTACTTTTTAATACTCGACCAGACAGGTTGTGTTAGCAAATTGGTTTTTTTCAAGCCAGAATAACGTTTTTGGTTTCATATAGATTCGTTTTAGTCAATCGGACTACGGGATATATTATCACAAAATGCGATTTGTCGTTCTTTGTGTTATAATTGGCCTCGTCTATACGCGTATCTTGGTGGTTCTGGTTTCGATTTCTTGGAAAAAATTACAAATAATTTATAGCAAGTGTCTGTCATGTACTCCATGATATTTGACCTAACTAATATTAACTGTAATGAACTTGTTAATTGTGTATGATATTTGTAAAATATAAGATATAATATGGTTTTTTTACAAACACAGAAAATATTTCTTTTGTTTTAGTACCGTATCATGACAAAAATGCCAGTAACATTCGTACATTCCACTTTTAGAGTGGTGTTTAATTAACACGGCTGCGACGCCAGTGAAATAAATCTTGGTTAATGTCCCTTTAGTCTGGTCAGCTGGGGCCATGCATGCTCTAAAGAGATTACCGAATTACTGAACGTTCCTATATTGATAGGGTTACCTGTGACTAGCCTTATGCCTAATGCTGTCCGATTTATAGGTCTGTAAGCTGGCTCATTTGTAAATCATTCTAAATTTGAATTTTTAGTTGCAAGCTGTAAGCTGTTCAAAATACTGTGTTTATTATTGGCTTGCAATTATTATCATTCATTTTTGTAATTATATCGAACCTCGATTACAAGACTGAATAAAAATTACGATTGAATTTGGAGGACGTATTTTATAACTGTTGGTTGTAGGTAATATGTTGGACGTTTTTCATGTACCAACTAACCAAGAAATCCTTTTTGTTTCAGAAATGCAACATTCTTAGAACCCCACTTGCAAGGTGTCAGACGACGAGACAGTCGAAGCTCGGATTCAGAACACGAAAGGTCCACTGAAGATGACGAGAGGTCTCTTATACGCTCCTCTCCAAGAAGCAGACATCCACCCCCTGACAATGAACCGCCACCGCCGATGAAGCCAAGGGAGTTCTTCGAAAGATTACAAAGTCAAGCAATGAGAGAGATTCCAGGGAAGACGAAACGAGACCAAGCAATCAAAGACGCGAACCAACTGTTTCGAACGCTGGATACGGACGGCAGCTTGGTTGATAGTCTTAGTCAGGTGAGTTTTCATCTAAATTAACCAGCTCTATACCTAAATAGATAAAACACTGAGCAAATTATTACCCTTAACCTCATTTGATATTCTAGTCTAAGTTTCGAGAGGAGTTTTAGTTTGATAAACAATAAACTCCTGGACTAAAGCTCGCTATAACTTTTGTTTTAATTAAAGAAAATAAAGCTTTTGCAACTACTTGTAACCAACAAAGCGTAAAAAGTTTTTACTCAAAGTTTCCTGGTCTGTATTTGAAGTGAAGATTTACGAATGTATTGAAGTAAAATTACATTAACCCGTCTATTTGCGCCGATTTCAAATGTACAGATTCTGAATGCTTGTCGGAACTGTAAATTCGCTACTTCCTTCTATATTTATTCTATTTTGCTTCCATTACCATATGAATATCGCGAACACGAGCGCAACATCATTCAATTCCATTCGCGGAATTAAATTTTTGCTTCTAAATTTGAATGGGCGTTCCCTAAATGAGGTATTACGTCCCTTTGTCGCTTGTTTTTATTTACTCGAGTACGAGGAAAACGTACTAACGTTATTAAAGATAATGGTCTTGACATTTCGTGGTCTTTATTAAAATTCTGTATAAAAGGAGCCCGGGGTGCTTTGTGTGATACGTTTAATTTAAGCGAACTTTCTGAGTGGTTCTTAGGAACCGAAATGTTTATGATCTTGTGGTATGATCGCAATATTTACGCATAGCGGCAGCTGCACTCAAAATGCACTTACGGTCCGTGACAAAAGCACTCTTGAGGTACAACTCTAGTCAATTGCACGAATGCTTGAAACGCTCCCTTACAATTGTTGACGCGTTGGTGAAGTGCTACATTTTGTCAAACTGATGCGATGCAACATTAAGCAAGGTATTTATCAGCTTAAGCTTTTTGAGTTCGAGAATGGAAAATTATAGCCGTCTTTGTTTTATATCTGAGTTTTCTCTAAATAATGCCATTTGGACAAAATAATATTGAATGCATATAAGAAATAAAACTCGAGACATGTCGCACTTAACGATATCATACGCCGGTCCCTTGCCACAGTCAACGTGCCAAGTCTACTTGAGCCGCCTAGTATTGCAAGAGACCATGGCAAGACCTGACAGTATGAGTTTGCTACCATTGCAGATGGGCCGTGTGCTGGTGTGCGATGCAACCTGTTCAGACACGCTGTCCCCATCCCATCTAAATGGAACCAACAGCAGAGCTCGTTCGGCTTGTAAAGCGGCTGAAAAAAGCTAAACCATGCAAATACAGGGGTGTAGGCTCCGAATATGATTTTGTCCCATGCGGTGTCGAGACCCTTGGTCCGTGGGGTCCTAGTGCTTTAATGAAGGCTTTTAAAGGAAATAACAAAAAGGTTAGTCGACATCACAGGAGACCGAAGAGCTGGCAGCTACCTCGGACAAAAAATTAGTCTAGCTATTCAAAGGGGGAACCTTATAAAATATTATATTTTTTAAGGTTATTAAGTACTACTTTTATATTCTGTAAATTGTTTGTTGTATATTATAATAAATGGTACTAAATAAAGTCTAATTTTATGACAAGATAACTATAAAAACAAAATTGAAATGAAATAAAAACTTTGTTGATAGTCTTCGTGATAGTCTTATACGAAGCTATAACGCCTTTACAAATATTTAATATCTCAGTCTCAAGGGTAAAAATGCAAACTCTAAATGCAGTTAACGAGCGGTTAATTTCAGTATTGTCAAGAAGCCATTTTGTCCGGACCCCGTCACTTCCGGTGTTCGCCCCCAGTAATCGACGCGTGAAAAGAAAAACCCTGAATAATTTTCAGTGCAGTCGATTCAATGCTTCCGCTCCTGCGTTCTATCGTTTAGTAATCAGTGACATTGTTGTGAAATTTAAAAAAAACTATTTCGATTGAAGCGTTTCTTAACTTCCCGGTCTTAAAGAACTAGTTTTGATCAGGAGTTATCAGGAGAACTGATCTTTGTTCAAATAGACTCCTTTGACGTCATATCTATGTGAAATATATCTCTATATATAATAAAATTCTCGGGTCACAATGTTCGTTCCCATACTCTCCGCAACGGCTCGACCGATTCTTATGAGTTTTTTAATGCATATTCAGTAAGTCTGAGAATCGGAAAACATCTATTATTATTTTTTTAATGATACAGCAAATACATACAACCCTTAATTGTCACCCCTCTACGATCAACCCCTATTTTATTATAGTAGATACTTATTTTTATTGAACTAAAAAAATGTTTCCAGGAAATAATATACATGGCAAAACGACGTTTGCCAGGTAAGCTAGTTTTGTTATATAAATTTACATGCTTACTGGCAAATGTATTTAAAAAAAAACTAAGTCAACATTTTCGCATATATTATGGCTATTATACAGTATAAGGAAAAATATTATTACCTGTCTTAGAATAGAGTAAAGTTTTAATATATGTCCTAAAAAACAGTAGTGGGTACAAATATCTGTGCGCAATTGAGATATATCACGATAATAATAAAACTTCTTGAAGCCAGGCTTTAAATCCATACCTAATAGAAACTCAAGGTTTTAGAATGCTACTATTAAGGTAGCTAAAACATACCTTCATTATATTAATCGTCTTTTTCGCCTTTAATCACTGGCCATAATAAATGTCACTTTGAACTAATTTGGTTACCCCAAGTATAATTATCGTGTAAAGCCCTCAAAGGACAACCCCAGTACAAACGGTCTCTTGTGGATATGATACCCATATCATTTTCCTTTTTGACTAATACACTATATCATAAAACATCGCTTAAACTGTGATGCCTTTGGGATATTAAGCAGCGGAAGAAAAAATTGGTAGCGAATAAAATTTAATAAACTGTACTATTGTATTGGTATATATATATGCTCCAACAAAAGTTTTTAATATTGATTAGGTAAATATAATATATTTATTTACACTTTATTACCTTATACCAAAACATATATAAAAAAGCAGGTTACATAAGTACGGCAACGGGCGGCCTTATCGCTAACAAGCGATTTCTTCCAGGCAACCCTAATATGGAACAATAAAAAAGAAACACCTACAGAGGGTAAAGTACAAGATGTGCATAAATAATTAACAAAAAAACTTAAAATAACACGTAACTATAACTAAAATAAAATAAAGAAATAATAATAATAATAATAAATAAATAGATGTCGTAAGTGACATTATTATATAATTTTTGAAGCTGTTTAAAATTCTGCTGACGTATTCACGTTCGTTATATTAAACCTTGGTTGAAAGCCTTTATACATGTTGAACATTTATTTAAAATTACAGCCCTACTCATTGATAAAAACTAAATCTTGTTATATTTATTTACTCTTTCTGTCAAATTGTGTTTACGCTGTGATGAAAAGAGACAGACGAGTACTTTAGATAAAACGGTATAATTGGACTCAAATAATTCATGTTTGAAATAGTGCCTTTGGTATATTTAAAAAACGTTCATTAAAACTACATACGTTTTCTTTTTATTACGTATACATTTTAATGTTGGTCGAATCGCGAATATCAATGGCGGCATCCGTTTGTGTCACCTTTTAGCGTAAAGGATATGGAGCTATGAATGAAACTAAAAAGGTATGTGGTCATACCACAGGCATTATGTAAGTTGATTCCGTTATCGCCAGTAAGGCTTGTGGCTCATACATTTCTATTTAGAATTTTTGTCCTCGGACTTTTGACTCAATTTAGTAGTACACGAGTGAGGAGAGTAACTGCTGTGGTAACCCAATGCTCGGCACACTGATACATTGGTACAAGAAAAATAAAATTTTGTTTAATGTGATAAGCACTTATTAGGCAAACATAACCTACGAAGAGATAATAAAAAAATAAACAAAACAATTAATTTATAAAAACTCAACTTAAATCGATTTCAAAGTGTGGGGGGTGTAGCTTTGGATATATACCTAGCTCGTAAAAGCTACATTTTCTGTACTAAGATATAAAATATTCTAAAAGTTATAGCTATTACTCACGGCTCCATCAACATTAACGGGGTTTTAGTAGGTTTACAGACACCGTAAGAAAGTCATTAGAGATTGTAGCGGCTGGTGCAAATGAACGGAGATACGAATATCTTTTGTTTTATTACTAGACTTTTTGTCTTGTAGGCTTGGCGACTAGTAAAACTCTTTAACATAATAGTTTTGCCTATGTAAAGACAACTTTAATATATCTTAAAGTGTATAATTAAAAATAAATAAATAAATGTTGGTTATTTAAAATCATACATGAAATTTATTGCAAAATCAACATAATATTTTGAATGACCACAGAGCATAGCATTTTTTATGTTCTTTGATCATTCCAAATTCGAATCTCGTAACGTCTATAAAATAGGTTCATTCTATTTCTAAATCACGCCATACTATACACCATATCGTACAAAATTTAACAGGCTCAACGACGAAGCAAAAGGGCAATTGGGCGAAGAAATAAGAGCAATAAACGCGTCATTACCACACGCGTGAAGGACTTATTGATTTTAATCGTGTGAGTCAATGCTCGGACCAGTGTTTGCTTTGATTGGACTTGGAGAGAACTTTATATGAACTTATTACTTGGGGTTTTGCATCCGTATTTTTTTTTGCGACGTCTGCACTCGATTCCGCTCGTTAAAACTTTGTCGCTTTGCGTCGGGTTTTCTAGTTTTCGCAAAATAAATTGCGGATGTTTTGATACTTCCTAACGAGTACTCCATTAGTTTTGTGGTGGGCTATGTCATTTCGCTTTAATTTTAAATGTCTATTCGAGTTAAATTAATATTCCTATAGTAACCATAAATGAGAAATTGTTAAGTTTAGTTTATGTTTAGTTAACAACTCACTTTGAAAAATTAAAAAAAACTAAACTATATTATTTATATTTGCGTTTAATGTTGAAACTAGATTAGGCATTATGTATGCATAATACACCGTCTATATGCGTATAGCCTAAGTGGCGAAATTAGTGTTACTGACACACCCGTGCTAAAGTACTTTTATTTATTCCCTATACATATACATCACACAGAAATTTATCTAACCGATGAGTTTTTTTTTTTAATTTTTTATGACCTAGATACAAGTCTATTGCCCACCCAACCCATGTTCTACAGTGGGTTACCAGACGTCGAAATTTGTTATACCAGAAAACAATATTGAGGTGAAGAAGTAAATTATAATTCATTTCGTGACAAGAATCTTTCACTCATCAAATAATCAAACTACTCCAATATATCACTGGTGATATGATTTATTTTCACTGTGCGTTCCAATAGACCGTTACGCCAGTAATTAACCTAATTAAAAGTCAACAAAGTTAGTAAGTGATTTGGGAGCAGGTGTTCCGAGCTCACTCCTTAAAAGTCTCTCCCATCGCCAGAACTTAAACACGTGTGACCACTTTGCACTTAGTTCTCGAGTTGAACGACACTAAGCGTCAAGAGTTGTATATTTTTATGAGTTTTTGGTGATACACAGCTGCCTCTTAGGAGATTGCAAGGGGCCGAATGGCATCGTTGATAGCCTAACTTTGTAATTGCTGTGAAAAATTTTAGGTAAATACCTAAATGTTGTCACAGCAATTACAACCCTAGTAGTAAAAATACATTTAATATGTATAGATTTTATAAACACGATTTAATTCTGCATTAAATTAATAGCACCATAATAATGTAATTAAAATTTAATATCATACAAAATGCTTACATCCACAGGCTATAACATTCACCGCGAACAATCCAACAAAATTAATGTACCACAGAGTACATTCTCACGTAGCCGTTTAGCACCATAGAAAACTAATTGCAATCCAACTTTCCTCATAAATCCGTGTATATAGATGCTATAATTTCACCATAAGCGTTGCTTTTGTGTGGGATTTAACACCTTACCTCGCGGAGGCCTTTGTGTCATGATTCATAGCACACCATTATTGTTACCGATTTCCAAATTAATTTCCCGCCAAATAATAGAAGCGTCTAGCAAATTATTGTTTTAATTGTACCGTTATTCAATTGTTGTTCTAAATTTAAATGGAATATAATTTAAACATGGACCGCGTTCTATTCTCAAACAATTGTTGTATTTAATATTTCTATGATAATTTTAAGATTTAAATTTAAGTACATTGAAATATTTAGTATATTGTGTTGTCCATTGCCAGAGTTAATTAATATATCAAATAATTCATTAAAAAAAGTGACACGTTGTTTTACTTCAAATTATAACTTATTCTCTTTTACAGTAAGCCTCAGTAGCTATTGCATATTATGTCCTGGTCACTCTCGTATTCACGGCGACTATAAAACGTGATATGACATTCTTCAACGTAGGTTCATATATGGTTATGAATAAGACCGTCAATATATTATATAGTTACGACTAATGCAAAGTTATGTGGTCTCCAAGGCGTTTTTAATTTTTTTTGTTTTTAACCTCAGAACGTGAAACAATTGACAAACCACAGAGTTAGAATTAAAAGTAAATATTAAAATGTGTTCTTTATTATATTGACGTTATCTGAGTCCGAGTATGAGCTTTTAACAATACAGGAAATATGAACCAAATACAGAAAAGTATTAACCGTCGCGTGCAGAATCCCTCCAATTGATTCACGGTAGAGATACGGGCACTCGCAAATGTTGGTTCACTGAATCGTTTATTTGCCGCAGACCATTAATTTATAGAGCAATAACGGCGGCTACGATTTTTATTTATCTCCCAATGTATGCGTATTTGGCTAAACCACTGGCTGTTCACATGCTCTGTGTACACGCGCGAAAACTTTTTGTTGACTGATTATTACATTTTTTATATTCTGTATCTACCTACCTGGAAAGGCTTTCAATGTTTTATCCTTATCATTCTTGTGTGTGTATACATATAACTAATTTAACTTATTAAGCCATAAATTATGTTTATGAATAACGTGTCTATTTAGTGTTAATTATCATTTTTAAATGTTTTGCAATAAGCCATCTAAATAGCCATCTAACACTAATTGCAACAAATGTCCCTGATTTAAATTTAAAATTAAATGCGGTGTCATTTAACATGCAATATTATGCACGGGACTTTGTCTCAATTAACGAATATGACGTCCCCTAGGGATACATAAAACCTCAGTTTAATAAAAGCTCTCATAAATTACAACACGGCAGAACATATTTAATTTGTTTGGTATAGAAATTTAATATAAATAGAAAATTAAAAAGATAAGAAATTTTGTATAAAAATTTACACTATTATACAAAAGTTATAAACTGAAATAATCGTTACATATAGAATCATCAAATGTATCTTTGTCTTTGGATAAATAAAGCATCCTTTATAATCTATTATCTGTAGCCGATAGTGTTTAGATCTGTCATAGTTGTTATTTAAACTATACAGTACAGTTACATCTGTGTCATTAAAATAATATGTTAATTGTCATCTGTCCCCAAGGGCAAATTTGAATGTGTTAATTGTCATTGAATTTACCTCGGGAAAAAGCCGTACACTAAAGGAGGATTATTAGAGCTAACAATAATTTATAGGTACATATATGTAGTTATTTTTAAAATAAAATAAAACAGTCGGTTATTATTTATACAATGAAAAATGAACTTTAAAATACATTTCTTTATTGACAGATATTAAATCAAATTTAAAAAAAGTACTGTGTGGTATAATGATACATTTAATTTAATAACTAAATATGGGTTATTGTTACATAATAAAACCATTTACGAGGGACCAAAACAACATTTTAAAATTGCTTAGACATTTGCGGGATGTGATGATAAAACTCTTTAATAAAATCATAGCTATCCCTCTTATCCTATATCCAAGGTCTTTGACCGCTAAGAAAAGGGTAAAATATAGTCACAAACGAAACATACGGGATCTAAACGGTAGGGAATGATACGAAATTGCCGCCTTTGTACTAACCGAACCTTCGAATCGAGAAATAATATTTCCAACTCCGTGAACAAAGCCTTCCTTCGTTTGAAGTGAATGCCTTCGAAATTTGTCGCGAAATATCTTATCGCCATAAAAAGAATTCAAATGCAACAGATATTGCGGTGAAACCTATTTGATGTTTATTTGAATCTCTGATTGTCTATTTTTTTGGTATTTCGGAATGAATTCAGATTTTGCACATATATTTACGAAATCAATTGTGTATTAACACTCTTAATATCATTCCAAATAGACCTGTGGATTCGTTATTTTAGGAAGGAAACTTATTGATGTAGCTAAGATCACATAATATGGAGCACATATTAGGAAATTCTAAATTAAGATACTATAAGAATGAAATGAAGACTCAGCATCAATTTTTTGTGTTCTTTAATTTTAAATGAGCCGTGTTGGCCCAGTGGCTACATCTTGCGACTCTCATCCCTGAGATCGTAGGTTGAATCCTCGCCTATGAAGGAAGAAAAAGCCAAGAAATGACTTTGTGTCCAAAATTTATCATTCGTACGATGAAGGAGAACGTCGTGAGGAAACAGACACATAGATCTGAGGCTAAAACGTTGAAGCCCCACTGGATTTTTTTATAAATATTAAAAAGGTTCTTAAGGGGGAGAGGAAAAGAAAAGTGCAAACTGTATTTACAAAACTTAAGCGCATTTGACCTACGATTACGATCTCCGAAAAATAGTCTCGTTTTGTAAGCAATGTACGAAGAACTTTAAAGCTATAAACTCAATAGTCTGAATCGTAGTTTTGTAACAAATAAATAACGTTCTGAACAACGTTAGATACTCGAGGGACTGAACCAAGAAATAGCGACAGATTTAATCATGAGAAAATATAGGAAGTCTACGAAGTACCTAATTCCCTTGCTTACGACACAAGAATGGGCACCGTGCCCAACGTGCAATTTAGAACAACTTATATTTTATATTAATTGGTTTGTTCTAATGTGATCAGATTACATGACATGGTTTCCTCAATGAAATTTCTTTAATTGCATTTGAGTGTCGTTTATCTTAAAACTGTATCCTGTGCCGTTGATTTAATAATTCATAAAATCACCATTTTTGCTTTACCTTTTCCCACCAATTAGCTAAAATTTTTTTTCAAATGTATTATGTAATAATCACGTTTTATTACCCGGTTCTCTATCGGCTTTTGAATAATACCTATGTAGTAAGTAAGGCTAGTAACGATAAGAAAGATTACATGTTATAAAGTCCCCGTTTTCATTTGCTTAAATCTTATGCTGAGTTCATATTGTCAACAAGCTAAACAAACATTTACACTGGCCTATAACTTTGCATTAACTCTAGTTTTGTTTTACTTGTAAAATACGTTGGTAACATATTACTTGGTATATTTTTCTTCTATAAACGCTGGTATGCTTTCCTTAATTTCGTTATTGCGTTCATATAATCAATTAAATACCTCATATTACAGACAAATCCTATTTACAAAAAAAAAATACGTTATAAATTCATGCAATCATCATCTTGCCATTCTGCCTGTATTCTTTAACGCATATCCAACCTTTTTTAAGCGAACTTAGAAGTCAAGTACTAAATGTTTTATCTGTATCACTCTCACTTTACAGTTACATAAATATTATCATTTATAATCAACTGATGTTTATACGTCAGCTTTAAACCTAGAATATCTCGTTATATGACAATTTGAAACTTAAAATTATGTTTTTCATTAACCAATGGATACATTGTTTCCAGAGCCGAGAAAGTCTGTCATCAGATGGTGAGGGTGCAAAAGGCGACTGCTCCTCAGTGGGGACTTCGGGGTCTGACTCCGAGGAGCAGCCGCCATGCGACATTGGTCTGCTGGAGCGACTGATACGGACACACCCAGTGTGGTTTCTGCCTGGTATACAACGAGCGGGTGCTTTTCACCTTCTGCAGGGGAAAGAGGAAGGGGTGAGCTATTTAATACGAATACCTATAGATATATATATATCTTTTGTATTGTAATATAGAGTCTTAAATTTACTAAATTACTATGGCAGTCCATTCGAAATATATGTTTTTAATTCTAGCTAAATTAAATTTTAAGAAATAACGAACAAAAGTACTTTAAATCACAAATGTCAGTATAGTTTTAAGCAATTTTAAATTAATTTGTAAATCAGTATTAAAATGTGATTAATAAACGCATCTTAGACCGGAATAATATATAAAATTATAGTAAATAAATTTTAATCCTAGGTAAGAAAGTAAGCACGTAAACTGAGTCGCTACTGATATTATTATAATATAGATTTGGTTATTTATTTTCGGCTCAGCTTCGCAGCTATTATAAAGCTATGAGTATTCTATCTTGGAAAAACAAGCAATTATGCTAAGTATGGGTTAATGGTTAATGTAATAACGCTACTTTGAGTCTTCCGGTATTCCAGATATCCGCTCGTTAACGGATATCTTACATAATGGAAGAGTATAAACAATTATGTCAAAGCGCTCCAATACATGTGAAAATCGAATGGCAGATTATGTCTGTTTCATTCAAAGGTCTTCTTCGTCTAGTTGTATAACATATATAGAATGTAATTGTTCTTCGCAATATTATTAGTTTTGGTTTTGGACAGTATCATTAGAATTTAGGCCAAAGTTTGAATAATGTAGCAGTATTGAAATAGAATTTAATTTGTTTATTTGAAATTGAATTTTCTTCGATTTTATTTATGGTTTTGGTGAAACTTGAGTATTAAACTTATGTAAATATAAAATTAAAAAGATTAATAAGCTGTAATAAGGCAACTTTTTTGTTTTTAAATGACACCTCCGCAATATAGCTATTGAAAAATTCCAGAACTTTGTCGTCCGACAATCTAGTCAGCCGGACACAATGGCGATAAGCGTCCGTCTGCCGGCCGACAAAGGACCATACATTGAGCACTACCTCATCCAGGCATCGGCTGGTCGTATCGGCCTGGAGACGTCCGCAAATCGCTTTGATAATATACCTGAGCTGATCGCACACTATTCGCAATGTTGGTAAGTCTAGTTAACGCTTAAATTTTTTTCGATTATCAATTCAATCTTTCAATTCAATATCAATCAACAGCTGGCTCTGTAAAATACATTTAAGATCTTACAATTATTACCCATTTTGGACACAATTCTAATTATTTCACTATACAGTAGTTGTATGTTGAAAATCTAAATCCGAATAATATTGAGGTCAAAGCAGCAGCAGTGGTTGCAGCTCCTTACAAACGTTGTGTAAAACAAAAACTTGGCGATTAAAAAGAGTGGCGGAGAGTTTATTGCCAGTTCTTCTCTTCCGTTCTACGCCCTTGATTTGAGAATTAGCAGTAAATGTAAAATCAGAAGCATTTAATGTATATTTCTTTTTTTTTTGACGTTAATAAGTGTACATTGTGTTACCTACATGAAAAAATGATTTTTGATTTTGTTTTGAAAGGAAGATGAGAGGAAATCTTTTCCTGTTACTTTGAATTCTCGTGAATTTTAACAGCGTTTTAATTACATTTAAAATAGTTGTATCTTATAATCTAAAACAGTTTTATTTATTAATCTTGTGTCGACAGGAGAGAATATTGATTCAAATCAGAAAACATTTTAATAACAAACGATATATTTTACAAATAGAACTTTTAATAAATTACCGCATAAATCAATTCTATCCGTACCTACATGAAGTATTAATCAAAATGCAAAGGATATTAAACTTATTCAAACGAAATTACTTACCCTAATCCAGGCTTATTCACCTTTGATATTCAATTCTGTATTTAACAAAACACTTATACAACTTCAGTGACGAGCTACCAGTTCAGCTCCAACTGCCGAGGCCGCTTAGAGACGCTAAAAGCAGACATCAGCTTAGTTCTCTAGCGCTCCTAGGCCAGGAGTTCTGGGGATATCCAATGGCGAATCCAAAGAACACAAACGTGTTGTCCCCTGGGCAGCTGGCGTCTGGCGTGGTTCCGATGGCTATCACTCCCTCGGATACTGGATCTAGTCTTAGCAGTTTTAATCCAAGTAAGTATTTAGTCTACTTTTAAAGGACAAGTCCTCACTGTTATTTATGATATTTCTGATTTAATTATGGATCTGCTACTTGATTGAGATACTTGAAGCAGACTTATTTATTATGTACACGCGTTAGTAGTTTTACTTCTTTGGCGTAACAAGATAAAAATCTTTTTAATAATGTTATCTTTCGCCTTATTCTACGTTTGTTGAAAAACTGACAATAGAAAAAAGGTATTTAATACATTGAAAGTTTTATTATAACGCATTATCTAGTTAAATAAAGTTTATTTAACTTGAAATAAATATTACAAAAAATATATTCTACATAATAAAAGAAATGGAAATTTTTTTTATTTTAAAATATTGAGTATGCTAACTTCAGGGTGTCGGTTTTTTGTGACGATGTGCGCGCGCATCGTAAAAAAATACTCTCATCATCGTTCCCTAACGCGCCAAAAGAAGTATAACTTCAAAAACTTCAGTAATTATATAACAGTTATCTACTAAAAAATAATACTATGTTTTAGTTCCGAGTCCAGAGTTAGTCTAGGTGTTCATCACGATTTTTATTTCAGATACGAATTCCAAGGAGAGAATATTTAATCCTGACAAGGAGAATGATATTTTGAAAATGTCTGTAGATACATCTCCAACTCAAAGTTTAAGTACATTTAAAGGGAAAAGTCCTCCTTCACCGCCAGCGAAACCCGGGTCTTTTGTGAGGGCTCCAAGACCCACTCCTCCTAATACATTAAATCTTATGACTAGCACCGTAAGTACAAAATTAATCTATTGAATAAACTGGCGTAGTTTAAGGCTTTCATACTAAATACACTTGGTAATATTTCAACAATTCATTTAGGGCAATTCACCGGTTCTCTTCTATCTGTTAGGTGAAGGAAATTTTATGATATTCTATTAAAACATGTACCTTAATGTCTCTGAACTTAGCAGAGCGCTACCTAGCAGAACATAAAAAAATAAAATTCTGTTCATCATGCACAATAGTTATCGTTTTTAGAATGTATGGGTTTTTATATATTTTTTCATAAATTTATATTATTTGCGAGAAAGTTTCTGGTAGGTACGTTGAGAAAGATTGCTGCGTAGTTTATACTTTAAAAGTATTCTAGTGCAGATGTTCAGAACTCTTCAAAAAACTATCAGGAACGTTAGAACTATTTTGCTTGTTAACAGAACTGCGATCTTTTTATGCTTTGCTGATAAGTGCTCTACTAATTTCACAGACACTTGAACTTGAACAGAACTTAGCCTTAAACGCCAGTATGTTGTAAAAGTTGACAACGCTTTATTTGTTCTAAACCAATTGCATATTTGCAGGCGCACATAACACAACCGCACACATTCCCCACCACAAATCCCCCCCAACTCTCCCCCACTCACTCGAAGTCCACACCGCCCCCTCCACCCCCTCGTTGGGCCAAACCACCCTTTCCCACCACCCAATCCCTAGCTTTCAGCCCTATTAACAAGTCAAACGGAATAACTGTCACCACGACAGTGACGTTTAGCGTCAATAATACACAGATACACAACCACCAAATAAACGAGAACATTCAAAGTGACAGACTGCAACTAACGCTTGCTAATACCGACAATGCATTCAACCTAGAGTCGACTAAGGGCGAAGTGATCGAACAGGTGAGGCCTTTGCATATTTACCGCATGGTGTGCGCGTGAGCATGATAGTTTAGACTAGCTTGTGCATATACTAACATACTGTACACTGATTAAAATTATTCTTGTTTCTATATAGAGTATGTTGCATCGTTTATCGCCAGAAGGAGAATGTATAAGTACAATGACAGCTAGCTTACACGGAAGCTTTAAAAGACAGATAGAGGCAGAGGCCGGATCGCCGAATGACCAAAACACAGACATAGACACGGGAGTTAATACCTTCACGAAATCTTCTAATAGTTTCGCCCCCAACCAGTTAGTTTCCCCCAACGGAACCAATTCGGTTACTAGTGGTATTTTCTCGCCCACCAGTCAAATTAATTCACCCGTCTCCAACGATACAATATCGTCCAAAAGCGGAGTTTTCTCACCCTTAAGTCAAACGAATAAGAGTGATATTTTCTCTCCTTTATCGAGGAGTTCACCCGTGTCAAACAAAAATGTTTTCTCCCCGACATCGAATGTTATGTCCCCTATGAGTGGTCGAGAAAAGATAATATCTCCCAATACAAATACAGCGAGTACAACACCCTCTGGTCGGTCAAGGAGAAGTAAACACTCCCTTCGAAAGGAGTCCAGACATTACCAGGTAGGGGCATCATATATTTGCCTAGCTGGCGGAAAGAATGGACTGAGAGTGGATTTCCTGTAATAAAATATAAATTGTGAGCCTACATAATGAAGACATGTTTTGGTAATGCTTATTTTATTCTAGATGTCTTTGCTTACCAACCTAAAATTAATGCACCGGAAATTATATGACTGGGGAATTAGTAATTTTGATAAATGTACTGATAAAGCGACTTGGGACATACAATTAAAACGTACCATTTTAGTCTCCAATAAACAGAATTTTATCGTAGTTAATGCAAAAAGCTAAACATACTACGGCTTTCACTTTTCAAAGTTGCAAAGATATCGCTTAGTCCACATTCAGTCCCTTCTTTGTATCTATAGCCTAGCTGTAGTGCAATGGGCTAACTTTAGCATTAGACAAAAATAATGTATAAAGCATTTGTTTGACTAACAGCATGCTTAGTGGTAGGTTCAATTATTTCCTAAATTGCTGTTGATTTTGTTTATATAAGTAACAAGTTTTTTAGGAATCAGACATCCTCGAATCGCCGGGAGTGTATTGTCGTAGCTCCTTATTGGATAAAGTGAGTGATTATGAAGACATATGGGGACCAGAAGGCAACAATTGCACGACATTCAAACCTAAGACTGATAATGATAATATAAATAATGGTTTAATGAAAAGCAAGAGACCTGATTTGCTACCGGACACATTGCGTAAGTATTTGGGATTTTTAGTGGGCAAATCGGGACAAACATTTATAAAATGTAGAGTGTTTTGGACCAGCCTTTAAATGGTTAATTTGCTTAATCTATTGGGCAGCAGCTCATTACAAATAAGCATTATTTTCTGTAAACTTCTTACCACAGAACTAGAATGTGTCATTATTGGTGATCCATTCAATAATCTGTATTAATTTTCAGCGAAATTAATCGCAGCGAAAAGTACACAATCAATACTTGATAAAGAAAATATGATTCTATTGACATCATCAGATAGTTTAGAAAAGAAAAATTTATCTGACAACTCATTGAAGAAGAGCTTCAATGGATCGAACGAAATTATAGCGACGACCAATAGTAAAGGTGACGTGATACCAAAAAGACCGGATAAACTGAACATCGCTTTAAATATGAATAAAAAATTGACTGATGAAATCGAAGCTGCCTTAAAGAATAAAAATCATACGACAGAGAGTATGGAGACTGTTAAATTAGAAGACGATTGTACTAATGGGGATGAGTCGGAAAAAGATAATGCCGGCAGTCCTTTCTATGCCGACCCTGTTGATACGCTAAAGGAGGTTGGTAACTTCATTATAGTATATTCTTGACAACCAGAAGGTAACTTAGAAAGAGAGAGCTCATATTTCAATTATAGTTTAAATTGTTATCATTAGTAAATTTTTTACAATAGTTGAAAATAGGCGAGATTACGCTGATATGTGTCTAATAAGTTGATAAATATGGAGGTCGCAATTTGTATATCATAAAATAACAGCGTTTCTAACCTCTTAATTATGTACTCACTCTTGTAATAATTTTTATAATTCGTAAGGGATTTTGATTTGATTTTGAATTCTCTCAATTATTAAGTTTATTATTCGTTTCATCAAGTACAGGTACTGGACTTCTAGAATATTAGCATTTTTTATCATCAGATAAGTGATCGAGGCTGACGTTCTTTTGGGGCACCAGAATGCCCGTTAGTTCAAAAACATAAAAATATTAATAATGGTTTTATATGACGAAATTCTAATTGCCGTTTGGGTTGGTTGGTGTTTATTACATATCGTTTTTTTTCTTTCAGGCAGCAATGTTGCCAGTGCAAAGACGAAAGTTGCTCAGAGCGGGAGTGAGTTTGTCCCAAAGGTACTCTGAGCCGCCTTCTCAGAATCACCCTTATTATCCATTGAGGGATATGCATAGTATTGAGGAACTGTCTCGTAAGTATTTTTATAGTATATACATATAAAATGAAAAAAATCAGAGCTAGATCACTTTACAATAAATACTGTATGATGTTGATTTCAAAACAGGGCAGCCCACAAACCAATATAATTATGTCATATCATAAACCGATTCGATCAGAAATAGTTATCTGGGTATTGCAATACTAAGATCGGCAATATTGCTCCAAAAAAGTTTCTCAATTAAAAATATTTAAGCAAGCCTTATTTATCATTCCAGCATCTTCCCCAAACACATCAACGTCGGTAGACAACCTGGTGTCTCTTCGAACTAAGCCTAAAATGAAACCAGTAGAACCTCCCAGGGTTGCGGCAAAGCCTCCTAATGGGAAGGAACAGACTTGGGCTGTTGATTCCAGTTGGCAGTTTATAAGTGAGTTTAACATTTCACTAAAACGTTTTAATTTAATTCCTACTATAATTTTTTTAACTTTATACTTTAACTTAATTTTAGGTTAACTAAATTGAATAAAATACTGAAGGTTAGGTAACTCGAAATTCAATACAATATATACGTTTCATTTGTTTAAATATAAATACTATTTGTTAGAACTATAGATTGTGGTTGGCTTAGAGTTATACTTTAATATCAGCGCCATCTAGTAGCATATTTTAGTTCTATTAAATGATGGTAGATGGATTAACGAGTACGATGAATTTTCTGCGCGAGACTTTCACGCTGACGTAAAATTTCGTAGGATGGCTTGAAATTTATTATTACAAAATCAAAATTTTAGGGTGAGATTACACTAACTTAGAACTTGCTTTAAACTAATATTAGTTTTTTAGTCCAGAATCCAATAAACACAGTTTGAAACGAATAATAAATGTATAATGGACATCGTACACATATTTTTACAGACAAGAACGAAGACGGTGGTGATAGTGGAACATTTCCATCTCTAGCAGAGCAGGAAACGAAGCTCAGTGCTGATGAAGCCCATCTTTCTGTACATCAAGTGGTTGCCCAAAGGTTTGTTGAGTTTAAAACTAATGATAAATATTAATCCTAATATTTATCATAGTTTAAATGCATTCATGCGCAGTCAGAATATTTTCTTAACATTTAGCGTTAACTTAATATACGTAACGTAGTAACGATTTAAGTTCACCATATTATATCCGAATTTACTAAATGTTATTTACTAAGTGAGTTGAATTTCGTAGCCGCGTATTTAAACATATATTAATTAATTTACTTCGAGTTAATTTAATGGGCAAGTGTGAGAACATCTTTGATTACTGACAGATTTCCCGAACTCCGTTTGGCATCGGAGCCGACCAGTCTTCCCGAGGAAGTGAGATCTCCGCCGCGGGCCTCTTGCTATGACAACGTACATGACCTGAGACCACTGTCCGAACAGGTAATGCAATTTTCATTTTACATTTAAAGGAATATTGGTTTTTGCCATAGTTTATTTTTAGTAGACTAGCGGCCCCGACAGACGTCCTGTACACACGTCTCAAATACTACAAAAAAATCTAATATATCTAATAAACCATGCTCAAATGCAGTTTCACTCAAGAAGTTCCATTCAAATCGGTCCAGCTGTTTAGGAGTTTTATTACAAACACACGCACAGAAGATTTATATATAGGGTGTCTCAGTAAGAGTGCACTTTTTCATTTTTAAATAAAGACAAGTATTTTATGACAGAGTTCTGATATTTTTATTGTATTGTAAAGAAGACATGTTCCGATTAAGTATGGAATAAATTATCCGGCAAATGACCTCCACGGCTCCGATGACAGGCCTTACACTTTTCATTAAATTTTCCATGACTTTTGCACAAAGATGTGGCTGTATCTCACCGATGACGCGTTGGATTTCCGATTTCAGCTCAGGAATGCTTTCGGATATATTCGCATAAACTCGAGATTTCACAAAACCCCAAACAAAAAATCGCACGGCGTTAAATCGCACGATCTTGGTGGCCAGTTGACATCAGAATTTCGTGAGATAATGTGTTCTGTTCATCGGAGAAAATGACTTTTTTCGAAAAATTGGCATCGACGTCCCTTTGCTCCATTACTCATTGAGCAAATTGCCGGTGCTTTCCTTGGTCTGCTAGTTTGAGCTCCTGAGTTAACTGAATCTTGTACGCATGAAGGTATTTAGTCAAAATTTGCTGCATCGAATTGATGTTTTCGGGTATTCGGCGACACTCTCGTTTACAGCAACAATGTTTTCAAGGGACAGACCGGAACGCTGACGCAAAAGATTATTATTATCCATAATTGACCCAGTTTCTTAAAATTTTTTGACCGCTCTTAGAATGGTTGACACATTAGGTGCACTTTCTCGGCTGAAAATTTGGTGAATTTTGCGTGTTTTCATCGTTACTTTTGTAATGAATTTTCACAATAATAACGAGTTGTTCTTTCAAAAAGCGCACCATTTTTAATAATCGGAATAAACAGAGGTGACACCTGTCAAATTTCAGAGTTGTCATTTGCAGGAAAACAAAAATATTACAATTTTAAAAAGTGCACTCTTACTGAGACACCCTATATTATCAACGATAATAGAAAATTTTATCTCTGCGTCATCTATTATCATTGTACTGAAAAAAAAAATCCTCTGAAGCGCCATATATTGTATTACAATCTCACGTAAAAAAATATATTTGCGCGCCACCTATTACCATGTAATGAAATTACAATAATATCCGAATGATTCGACTGCATTTCTTACTAAAAACTGTTGTATTCTAACGGTAATCAGTTTGTCGCCAGTAAGATTCTTTACCTAAGTTATTAGAATAATAATTTTTAGTTGGATTGTTCGTTTAATCACAACGAGCAAGGTTTAAATTTAGATTGGCTTAGTAATGTTGTTGTATGGTTACAGGCCAGCGATGACGGCACGGTATTCTCTGAACCCTGGGACAGCTCACAGTGGGATGGCCTTTTACCCCTTAATGGACAATCACAATTTGAAAATGTATGCATTTTTATATCTCTTTGAAAATAATGTCACTTGACAATAACAAAAACATGGAGTTTATATCACTTTAGTATATCCTATAGAATATTTTATAAGATTAAAAAAGGCTCCATCATTAATAGTGATTTGCATGTTTTTTCGAAAATATAAGAGAGAATTATGAACATACAAAATCTTTTTTAATATCAGGAGGAGGTATGTGAATGGGAGTCCCCAGTACCGCGTCGAGGTCCGGCTGCGGCAGCACGAGCCAAGAGCTTCAGGGACAGACTAGACCCACTTCTAGGTAACATATTAATTAACATTATGCTCCCATACTTTCATTTCATACATACTTTTTTTATTGGACTAAAAACATTCCTACGATCCTCTATAATCCATACAATAATGTTCTATAATTGCATTTCCAAAAAAAGAGAAGTTTAAAAAAATATTTCAAGATACGTTCGCAGATTAGCTAGGCTAGATAGATACCTAACGAGGATGGAGGATGTCTTATCTTATCACAGCGTATCTTAACAAAATTTTACAAAAACGTGCTTTAATCAAATTTAAAATCTATTAGCAGATTAATAAGACGTATACTTATTATTATGTGATTTTAAAGCACTAATTTCTACATGATATTCCCAGATCTTGAAAACACGTGTGTTATTATGATAAATTAATTACAAGTGCGGAGTAAAATGTTGGCGGCGCGTGTAGCTCTGAACAAATAATTATATTAAATAACCTCTACGTAGTGATCCTGATCGTACCGGTATAAACGTTTCTCTTGATGACTATTAACATTTAGTACGTAATAATTTAATACAAATATGTACTGAATACAAACACATGCCACTTGTACGGCGCCGTGTGTATTAGAGTAAAATGCTTTATATATTCTAAATTGACTTTAGAAAATGCAAATAATGTTTATTATTGGATGCGTAATATTTTATTTATTTACTTGTAATCATTATCTGAATTTAACATTTTGGTAAAATTAAAATGTGCTTATTAACAACATCGGATTAAAAGAAATAAATATTGAACAATTACGGTAACTAAACTAAGGTAATGTTCAGTATTTGCCTATATTGAACATTACCTTAGAAGTTATGGTTCAGTTGCTCAAACGTACCTATTACAAATCAAACGATCTAGTCTATACATATGTTTTAATGTCAGGTTGGGATAACACAACCCAAATATGAAAGATATTACTAAAACAGACAAATTATTTATTTTATTTATTAACGCTTTGTTACATTACATATATGGTACATATACATTCAGTTATCAGAAATTAAGAAGGCAACGGGTGGCCTTATATGTAACAAGGGATCCCTTCCAGGCAACCAGAGTTAGGAAAAAGAAAACAAGAAATACTAAAGAGCATAACTAAAAAATAAAATTGCAGGGCTGTACCGTACCTACTGACAATTACAATTACAAAACCAAAATAAAAAAAATAAAAACTAAAAGCCAATATTAACAGTCATGAATTTAATATAAAGAGTCACGATTCTAGGTTCTAAAATACATAGAATTAATATATTTACAATTACAAGAAATAAAAATGTTATATAATTACAAAAGTCACGATATAACAGATGGAAAGGATATTGTTATGAAGTGTTTATATAGAAAAAATAAAGGTGATTTATTGGTATACTCAATTTTACCTGCGATTTTCTTTTAGAAAAAAATAACAAAAGCTAAGTTTACCGGACAGCTGGTATTCATCGATGTAGTAAACAATCCATCGATAATAAGGGACAAAGGCGGAAACAAAAATCTCAAACCGCTTGTTTCGAAGAAAATAATATCCAAACAAAAGATTATTATAAAAGTATAAAACATTCACGTGCCATTTACTAATTACATAATTAGCTACTTACTTACCGACACCAAATCCTTACCTACTCAAGTAGTTCTGGAATCCCCAAAATGTCATTAACATAATTATATCATATTAAGTTCTGCATTCGAAGTCATTTTAATTTAGGTATAATGATCGAGTCGTGATCGGATTAGAATGATCTTAGTACAAAAGATCAAACACCATTATTTATAATTACTTGACTATAATATATTATAACAAATCAAATTGGCTGATATTCAATTAGCAACAATAGACCATAAAAGTACCTCTTTCAAGATAAAAGCAAAACAGATTTGCAGTTTCACACTCGTTTCATACTGATAACGAGTTAATGACTCATTAGTTGCAATATAATTAATATTATTCTAAATAGGACACGAACAATAGCACCGCAGTGCACTGTTGTTATCAGTGATTATAAATATTATTACACAGTAAATATAATTGTGGTTAAAGGGTAAAGGTCTGCGCGTGCGACGGTTTATACTACGAGAGTTGTTAGTCCGCTGCAGACCGTCGTACCGGCAACAGCTTAGCTCATTTGAATGAGAAATCATCGATTTAGATCGTTTGTCGTAGCGGGAAAAAACCGCCGAGACATCAGCCATGAAGTGGTTCATAAAATTGTTCAGAGGAAAATCAGAGAAGCCAATAGAGAGGAAGTGGAAGACTGAAAGGTTTGATCGCAAAATATTTTTGGATGAACAGCCGACTTCATCAGAGGAAATGCCAGTGACAGAAGAAGTATACGCGTTGACAACGATAAGAAACTTCCAGTGTGATTCAATCAGTGAATTTATTGTAGAAAGTGAATGGGTGTTTGTGTCAAAAGAAAAGTTGATGGAGCCAAAATATCAAGAGCGCTTGTCGAGGATGAGTTCGTTGACGGAATTCTGTAAGAAGTTAAGTAAGAATAAGGAGTGTAGAAAAACGACAGTCGTAGTAAAACCGCCTGGGTGCCATTGCGCAGAACTCGCTGATGAAGAAGCAGAAGAGAAAATCCGTGATAGCAACCCAATTAAAATTTTTTTTAAAAGTGTCCGTGATTTGTGGAAGTGCGTCTGTAAAACGATTAAGAAAATATTTAATAAAAACGATGAAGTTATCCAAATTGATGAATCGGATTTTGAAATTACTAATTCGTATCTGTGTAGGTAAAGACTTGTTTTTTATTTGAGTTTGGTTTAAAATACAAGAAGTCACGGTCTAATTTTAGTTGTTAAATTACTGATTAGATTGCGTTATGTAAATAATTGCTGAATACGAGAAATTTCAAAAAGTTAGTGCTGATAAAATATAACCTGCGCTAACGGAATGTATTATAACTACAATTATTAAAATAAATAACCCGGTCGGTTTACTCTTTGGGGTTTTTTAAATTTTTCTTTTTGCTTTTTCTTAAAAGGCTTTCTAAAACAATAAGTGAAACATTTTGTTAAATAATTTCTCTTTTATTAACAGCAGCGGGACGAGTCCGCGCATTGCGCGGCGGTCGGACGTCTCTTGGGGCGGGTGCCGCCCTCAGAGCGTATGCCTTACATTTAGCCCAAGACAAGAGTACCACCTTTGCTCAAAACGTTGATAACTTCATTGCTTGTACGTTGGACTCGAAAGAAACGTGCCCACAGGTAAGAAACTAGTACTTTCACTACATTTGACGCTGAAGCTAGCTCAACTATAGAATTGATTTCCTTGTTTTGTATGTAAGTTTAGAACAAATATATCAAATTTTAAAGAATTGATACAATATAAATAATGCAGGTGATGATGCGGAACATGCGTCAGTTCATGTCGGGAATGAAGAACTATCTCGTGAAGCATGGCGAGAGAGAGTTTGAAAAAGAAGTCGAGAAGGAAAGACTTAAGGTAAACTGATTTTGTTTTAATTTTGGGCTGTTTTCCAAGTTTGTACTGTCAGCTTTTATTGTGCAATAGAGTAAAAAATTTGCGGTACGGATGTCTGATGCCTATGTTTTAACATAAATTTACAACTGTACACACTAAACTCTAGTACTAAATCTAAAAAGATGTCAATCGCTTTTAAATTCATATCTTAAAACGTGAGTCGGGTGTGTTTGCCCCTCTATACTTTTTTTTGTTTTGTTTTGTAGTCAATAATAACATAGCAACTAATACCGAATTGTTGCTATGTTAGTATTGTAGTTGTTTTACTTTAACTAAAACAACACATGGATATCATACGAAATAAATAAGTTTTTATTATTAAAGGTATGAATAAAAATATAAACAGCAGTCACTAAATGTAGATATTTGCCATCAATCGGGCACATCATTTTGTTTTTTCATTCAACTCTTTCTGTCAATTAAAAAAAAAATAGTTTACAGCGAGCGAGAGAAATTATATTTGTAACGCATACCATATATGTACACAATATTAGTTGAAAGATTTGTTTAGTCACTTGTTCTTGTTATGGAAAATTGTACTAATTTGTTCCAATTATATTTCAGCTGAAACCGACAGAATTCCTAAACATCGACGCAATATTAGAAGGCGTTATGCATCGACTGGTTGTACGACCTCTACGCTCTAAGTTGTATACGTTGCTGGCTTCATGGCATGCAACGGATGTGCGACAGCTTCACGCGGCAATAGAACGCGCGCAACACGTTACGGCCTTGCAACTAGGGGTTAAGGTATCTAAGAACTAGGGATTTAAGCATAAAAATAAAAATAACGCTATTATTTTAGCAATGTAAATATAATTTCTATTTGTTACTATTATAGAACTGCCTTTTTGCATAGATAGAAAAAACACTAAGCTAATTAATTCCCGGTAAAATAATAAATATAGTATACAAATATATCAGTTACTTACAAGTACTTTGTAAACAACAAAATAATGATAACAGAATAGATATATGTACAGTAGAACTCCAATTATCCGAATTAATGGGGACCGGGACCCATTCGGATAATCATATATTCGGATAGTCGGATTTTTTAAAAAAAAATTGCCATTGGAGAGAATAAAAGCTACGTTTTGATATTGCACTATTTTTTTATTGAATTAAATGAAAGAAACATGAAATTTTCACATGTTTTAAATATAAATAAAATGTACTTATGTACAAGTTTAGAAATAAAAATCATTGTTTTTTAAACATCTCCGTCAATGTAAGCTGTTTTGCGGTCTTCAACCGTTTTCGGAGCGGTACATTCGTTGACGGTGAGCAGTGAGTGGTCCATCGACTTCGGATATCGGCGATTCGGATAGTCGGAGTTCGAATAATTGGAGTTCTACTGTATGTAAAAGTAGTACTTTTGATGACGAAGTTTTATATAATAGATACTTAAGATATTATAGATATAATAAATGTTATACTTATAATATAAATTAAATATTTTAGGAATCTACAAAAGTACCGTCTTCAGCAGTGTTGGCAGTTATCTCGAAGCATTTCCTTAAAATGCAAGAAGCGGACTCGCCTTTGGACAAACTAGAGAATCTCCTTGCAGCTATATCTGCTATGTTCAATGCGGTAAGATGAATTCCAAAAATATTGTTTTTATTTACTGATAAAATTAATCTATAATAACGAATTAACACGCCATCTATCGAGACCAAACCAAATCATGTATCTTCATTTAAATAGTTGTATTTCGGAAGAACATTTTAATAATTCGCTATTCGAATAATGTGAGTAGTGGCTCTCAGTAAATTTGTTGCATAGGTTCTAAGAGATACCGTTATTGATATGGCCGTTCTCCCAGACTCCTATATTGCACTGCAATTGAGTTCTGCGATTAAATGTTCTCATAGTAGGTTGTCGTTTTTGAGAGTGGGGAATGCGTACGCGCCGTCCTCATCATGCATCTGTGACAATTACTTCGAAGATTTACTTGACTTACGGACTTTATTAGGATAATACTATAATTTATGTTATTGAATGAAAAAATATTCCAGATCCGTGGCGAGCGAGCAGTGGGTGCAGATGACTTACTCCCAGTATTAGCATGGTGCGTGTCCCGTTGCCGGTTAGTTTGTGCTGAACTGGAGGCTGAACTCATGGCCGGGTTACTTCCACCCGCATTGCTGGCTGGAGAAGGAGGTTATTACCTTACTGCGCTCTTCTCGGCGGTGGCAGTTCTCAAGAGATTGGCGCCCGAGGCGGGATCAGATAGCAGTGCTTCGGTACCTACTATTTTCATTATTCGATGGCTAATTGTTGATAAAGTTTTGAATTTTTTTACACTTTGATCAATGAATTGAGTTTCAGACATTGATAAGTTAAATGTATCTCAGCGTTGTTTATACACCACCACATTTAGCTAGTATAAGTCTTATTGAATCGATATTACCTATTTGAATCGATGGTATCAGATTCGGCTTCGGGATATAAATTTTATATATTCTAAAGCCTATGTTCATAGTTCAAATCGGTTAAGCAGATTTTTAGTCCTCTTCAGGAGGATTCACCGTAGGACTCGCATTCCTAGTGACATAGGTTCTATCTCTGCCTGTGCACCAATTGACTTTCTATCTGTGTGTAACACAGCGAGTGTTAGATGCGCACATAGACATTTAAATCCAAAAACACATATGCCTCAAATCTAAAAAAAATATGTCAAATGGCTGAAACCTACTTGTCTATGAAGTAAAAATGACCCAGTGAGGGCTATAGTGCCACTGGATTATTATTAATATTAATTCGTAATTTTTATTAAGCATAAGCATAATCTTAATTGTTCCAAATTCTTATATTCAACAGTATTATACACAATGCTTAACGCGCGAATAGATTTTCATATTCATGTATGTGTAGTGTCGCCGCGGCTCCGAGTGTAGTAATCGCGAGACAGCAGCCGTAGTGCGAGTGGCCTTACCGGACGAGTGTCGCGGATGGATCCGTCGCGTAGCGCTTCCGTGTCGTCCGGCGGCTCGCGTCCGCGATCTCTGTCGTGCATTGGCGCACGCCGCCGCCATTACTAATCCGCAAGACTACGCGCTTTTCGCATTGCACGACGGACATGGTAAGTTACAGCTTACTAAATAAATTTTTATTCTACGAGGTTGAATGCTTCTTATCCATCCTTGGAATGGTCTAGGGTGTCGGGTTACCGATTCGAAATTATAGATTGGACACCTAAGAAAAGTTTCAACCCCCAATGACGTACTTGGATGAATATAATTTAACATTCTTTAAGTGGTTTCTGATATGTGTTAGTGAGATAATACATTTTTGATAATAAATTGTCGATTTAGTTGTTTTATGTATTTACATTTTTACCCATCTTTATGAGTGTTACCTATTTTTCTTGACTATACTACACTGATAATTTTTCTTGAAAAGTAGATACCTTTTCATAAAACGTTAGTATTAGAGTATTGGTTCTCAAGAGATTTGATTTCAACAAATTTCTATTGTGAAATCACCTATTCGCACTGAGTATTCTCAAAATCAATTTAATAACAATCTATTAAAGTTAATTTATTAATTTACAGAAACAATGCTAAACGAAAACGATTGCCCACAAGAAGTGATGTCAGAGAAAAGTGGTCAGAACTTCGTGCTGGCGTACAAGCGGATAGATGCGAAAATCGCGTGGCCGCAACAGGCTCTGCTTTCATACCCATAAAACAAAACCAATCTCACTTATGAAACTGAATTTAGTAATTGTAAGTTCATCTCGTCTTGCTCATTACTAGTGTAAACTGGATGAATATATTTTTGTCGAGAAAGTATTTTACTACGACTATTCGACTACGATATTAATCAATTTGTAGCTTCGTTCCCGCGAGTATTTGTTGGCGATTACGGAAATCGAACTCTAAAACCGTTAATGCTAATTTGAGTAATTTTAGAAATCGATTCAATTCAACGATTAAAACTCGATCTTCTATAAAGAATTGGATAATCGATTATTGACAAAACGTTCGATCGTCGACAAATTCCTCGCGTGGTTGCGATTTATCTCTTTCTATTTACGCCCATTCATAAAGTAGCTTTTTTACCTAATTAGCAAGTAAGGTCTCGTAATGACTGAATGATTCATCGCCGTTTACATTTCGTTCGTAGTGACCATTTATTTAAAACCTTATAAAGGTATCAGATGTATGTATGTTCCTAAATTTCGTGTACTCTGACCGCTCACCAAATGCGTATTCGTAGTCTCTTAAAGATCATTTTCATACTATTGTTTATTGAACTGTGATGTAATTTGTATTAGTAACGTAAGATTTGTATTAATTTTTGTATATTCGTAGAGGTCTTAATAATAATTTATTATAGCTTAAGTACCACTCAGTGCTAGATTAATTTGATCTTTAGGCCTAATTTGTGTCTCAACTAAAATGAATCTTAATAAAATGCTTTGTTATTTAAACCGTAATTGTAATCCTAGTCACGTTAACTTATTTATGGTTTAAATAGTATTTTAACATTTGCCAATTTCTGCCTGAGGTTTAATATATTTTTTCGAGGCTTCAGCGTTTCAGACAAGCTATGATCTGCGTCATTATAACTGTCAAGAATTAATGGCCTGTTTGCGGAAGCCGTAATAATTGTTTTAATCGAGTACTTACGTTTTCTGGTAGGATTGTAATAGCAGTGATTCTTATTTAGAGTGATATCTGAAGCTAGATCCTCGTGCCACGAATGTTTGTGTGTCTGACTGAAATCGTTTTAAATATTAACTTTATAATTGTACTAAATCTCTTTAACATTTTGGGTATCACTCGTAAAGCGTGTATTTTATCTTGTATTTAAAATTAGATAATAATTTCAGTCATTGTCAAAATAAACGATTTTTTACCAATCGCCGGACTATCATTTATCTTTCCTAAATAATAATAATAATAATATAGCTTTATTTTATTCGACAAATACAAACATATACGACACTAGACATTAATAGTACTAAACATGTCGTCACACAGTAATAAAATGTTGTATTTATATTTATATGGGTTATATTTACCCGTGGTGGACCCATAGAATTCCACAATGTTCTATCTCCAGCCATCTTTCTTCCGCCGCAATTTCCATCTGGCACAAGGCCAGCCTTTCGATCTTGTGCCATGTAGCCTCGGCCATTTTACCTATCCTTGTGTCCAACTGTCGTCGTTGTACCAGGCGACGTGTCCAGCACAGTTCTCTTCTTCTTTGAAGGGAGAACGTTGGTGAAGTTAGTAAACAATACGAAGTGATAAATCCATTCTATTTTGCTGTACCCTAGCCATTAACAATTATTAGAAGGATCAATAAATCCCGTGCCTAGACTGTCGACGTCGGAGGGTTTAGTCAGTCTAAAAGTGATTAAAATGTGTTAAATGAAATGAATTTGCATGTTTAAAGTAGTCATAATTAGTTAAGTAGTTATATTAATGATACAGTAAAGATATATACAGAGGAATTTTATAAAGTGTGTGGACTTCAACTGAGTAGTGTTGGCCTAGCTTCATCGTGCCACTCTAATACCTGGGGTCGTAGGTTCGATCCCCGACTGTGCACCAATGGACTTTCTATGTGCGAATTTAACACTCGCTCGTACGGTGAAGGAAAACATCGTGAGGAAACCGACATGCCTTTAGACCCAAAAAGTCGAAGGTGTGTGTCAGACACAGAGGGCTGATCGCTATAAGTAGGGGAGACCGGGTACAAAAGTAACGGCGGGTCGAAAGTAACAAATGCTCTCTAGATTATCCAATGGGCGAAAACAGCTTGGCGTAGGCGATAGTGAAGTGCCCCCTCATTTGTAGTTAGTGGCGTACTCCACGCACTGTTAGGTTGTGTGAGAGGATAATACGTTTTTTACAAACCAAAACTAAGTTTTTCGATATTTTTTATTTAATTTTACATAGTCTAAAAGGATGGTATAATTGAATGTTTGCATATCTATTTTTGATTAGATTGATTGTACATTTTTAAATTTTTTTTTTTAACGTTCCGTTTTTAAGTTATATTTATGTTTCAACAAAAATGAGGAAGGGTACAAAATAAATATCTATGGTACACAAGTAACAAAACAAACCTACAAGATTTTGCTCAAAAAGGAACTAAACAATAGTGCAGTAACCTCAGAACGTGGAAGATTAGGAACTGTTGCTTTCATTAATCTCAAGGAGGACACATACCTCCTTTTTCGTATTCCCATTTAAACAATTCCAAGACCACATATTCTTGAGGGTCCTTTGGTTTGGACTGGAATGCTAGTGGATGGATGAAATGCAGAACTTTTACTTTTTAAATAAATAATTTTAATTAAAACATATAATATTTATTAATTACCAACCTCTTCGTCTTGTTACTTTACCTCTATGGTCAAATAACAACTATGATTTTTTTTAACTCTTTTATTCATATAAAACACACCATATAAAAAAATGAGCTGTAGTGTAAAGAACATAAACTGAATTTATATATGTTATATTAATTTAATGACAATATTAAAATGGCAAAATAAGTGTGAATAAAGTGTTATTTTGTAGGTTGGTATATTATGTATACTACGAGTATTCCACAAACCCTTGCTCACTAATATATGTAGTAAAAATTCACATGCGCGAGGTTTTACCATCAATTCAAATCCACGATCGATTCGTATCCATGACAATAATAATCGAATACCTAACAGCTGATGAAAGCCAATTATCCAAACAAAATGCCAACTGTCCATTGGGATACGTTGAATACTAATTATCCTGTAAACAGGTATCATGAAACCGGTATTTCAAGTGAGACAATTGCTCGTGAGGCGAGAGGCATTCCTGAAACACTTCAACAACTGCAGGTAATTTTAATTGCGTTTTTGCGTACCGGAAGACATTTTATTCATAAATGATTATTATGTTCTTCCTATTTATAACAAAGCGCAAATTAGCCAATGCGAATACTAATTAAACAAAAAAACAGCGTAGTTAATTATTTAAGGAAGCCTGCATGTAATTATAAAAATTTTTCGCCATGGCTATCAAACTATTTAATCACCTTCCCAGAATTAGGAGCTTAGGAGAAACTAACGGATAATGCGAAATAATCCGTAACCGTATCCGAAACCGATATAAAATGTTAGTCCTATATCCATATCCAGATCCAAAATAGCATATGCGTAACATCTCTAAGTTATAGATCACTGCCATGTAATGCTTGCAAGGGAAAGGTGGTTAGATTTTTAGTGGGAGAGTATTTAGACCATAACTGTAATATATTTAGACATTACTGTTCTTATTAATATGACATTATCATAATATGACATTTGCATGCTAATATAATTAATCAATCAGAATCTTACACTTTTTTTTGAAAATAAATTTTGATTTAAATAGCAAAAAAGTCATTCCCTTTGGAACAAAACGTATGGGATTCTTTTTTTTGGAAGGAGCGCTAAGTCTAGCGAAAAGTGGAGTTCGTACTAAGCTACGTTAAACGGACTATCCATCATATAATGCATTTGGCAATTATTTTGCAGTGCAAAATTCTAATTTAAGAACTCTTGAGTGAATGCAAAATATTAGTGTGCATCTTCGTATGACAAAGTTCTTTAAGAATTGCGCTAGGATGGATCGTTTTTAGTACGTCAAGCAAATTAAGAAAAAACATTTTAATTGTGTTTAAAAGCGAATCAAATACTTTCTTAGGTAGATTCATAATTTTCAGAAATCACCACTTCAAGAGGAAATTAATTACAGCAGAAATTACAATTTAACTCGCGAATTCACGAAATCTCAATATACCGTAGATTATGAATGGAAGCAGGGTGAAAGAAAAAGGTTTAATAAGAATAACTCTTGCGCAGATAATCTATACATATATCCTCCAGACACGAAGGTAATAATTCAAAACACTTATAAATCTGTCTATAGAAAATATCTACTAACTGCAAAAGAATAATTATAATAAAGAAATTTAGTTTACTTAAAATAATTAAGTTAACGAAATATAACGAAATATTTCCTGCAATACGTATTAAAATTGTTATAAATTATGTAACAAATTTCCAGTTATTACATAATCCACCAGATTTGGCAGTGTTTGGCCTGTCAGAAACAAAAAATGCATTTGTTAGGCCGTCTCTATCCAGTCGCTTAGTGACTGACAAGGACCAATTCAAACATCCTGCCAGTTTACCTTTAAACCCAGTAAGTTCTAGTTTATTTTTATCTAAAGTATATAGATTTTTGTGATTGTATAGGACATATAATGCGCAAGGTTAAAAGTACGAAACCTTTAGTCGTATCAATTCACCTCTAGATCTTGAGATAACAGCGTGATGCAAAGCCGCCTACCCGCCGGCCTACTACCCGCCGGCCCCCGACACCCGCAATGTCAATGGACAGTAGTCATTGTTTAATAACCATTGAACCTCCTATCTATATAATATACGTATGTGTATTAAGGTTAAGTCGGAGAACCAGGACTTAGGGCTGAGCATGACTTCCGTATGTCAAAAACGTAGAGGATTTGACATATTATGGGTGTCTTACTTAGCGCTAAGTCTTGACTTAGCCTGAGTGGACATATTTATACCGTTACAATATAAAGACAATCTTTCGTTATTATATTTTACGTTTCTCCATATCATGTCCCAGACCCCCGTGCGGCAGGCTAAATGAATAAAGCAATTGCATAGTAAAATATTTAACAGATTTCAGCAAAGCTACATTTAAAAATCATGAGAAGCTAACAGCATGTTTTCTATGAAATAATAATTTTATGAATTATGTTACACAGCCTCCAATACAACCTTTTCGCAAAGACATCGAACCGCTGGACACGACGTATGAAGGTTTTGAAAAGTACTTAGACCCCTATCTGACGACCAGCAGGCTTCACCATCATCCACACTCAGAAGAATATTTAAATAGGATTTCCAATTCAAAGGATGTCATCACATATTACACTTGTGCGAAACAACCTTGGGTAAATGTTGTATCTTTTATACGATAAATGTTAACTAGGTTTTATGTGAATTCTTATCATTGACAACGTAGTACATTATTATTATTATTAGGGACTTAATTATTGAAGATGTTCGCCTCCCCCGACGAAAATTGGGATGTTATTAGTTTTAAGTGTATCTGTGTGTATAATAATGGCGGCCATTCACGGGCGATCCATCGATACATTTGGTACGCTGTCGATCCAAAATTCGTCCATGAATGTGAAAACACTGTCGGTCCAAATGGATTGGCTCGGCGCGATGGAATTCCAACTGCGCGAAAGTCCATCGCGCCGAGTCAATTGGCACGGCGCGCAAACGCAGGCGGCTCGCTTGTCAATGCGGAAAACCAACGGTCCGGTCGGTCTGAGCCGTCGTGCCATACGGGTTGCTCGCTCGTGAATGGTGTTACTCGCGAGCCAAACACGCACGTGACGCATTGTTTATATAAATCGTTTTCGCGATGAGTTCAAACCGTGACTTTGTTATTCAATTTATTTATAAGTTGAGAAAAATAAGTCAACTCCTTCATTAAATTTATGTGAGTGAGTTGCGATTTTTTCAGCAACCAATCCTTACACCACTTTCTTATTTTTTAAACTATACAAATCGCTATGGTAGATAAATAAAACTCATCTTCTGAATCGAAGTCATTATGAACACGTCCGGTGCTATCGACGCGTACACTCAAAATGATCAAATGGAACGCCGAACGGCTCGCAGGCGCGTTCGTGAATGGCATGAATTTGGCTCGGCGCGACGTCGAGTATCGAACCCGTGGCGCGAAAGCCATATGGATCGCCCGTGAATGGCCACCATAATATTGTTGAAGTGAAACTTCTTTTGGCGCATGAGGGTATATTTTTTACGGATGAAACGCAATAATAATAATCTTAGCGTAACGAAGATGTGCAGCGTTTTTGTCGAAGAAAGGGAGAGAGCGATTGATACCGATTGAGGCGAATTACCTTATAGATATTCTATTTTTTAAATTTAAATTTCGTAAAGAGAATTTATGAAATATTAGTATTTTATATTTGATGCAAAATTATATATTAAAATCTCAAATGACGAATTGCCACGTGTTTTTATTATCAAAGAAATAAATAAAATTAATAATTTGTATCAATTTTCGACAATTTTAATGTTTTAATGACAATTAAATTCCTAACATATCTTCCTTTTTCCCTCCCTCTGACACTCGGAAATCTAGTTTTAGATTTGTATAAATATGAACAAGACTTAAAAATTAGTTTGCCAAAGAAGTTTGTATGCACTTTTTTATGAATGTAGCTATTTTTTATAATTACGTCTCAGTTTTTAATACCGCTGCTTAGATTGTATCATCTTTGCTTGCTTCTTATTAGGCAAATTATCGTCCTCTTGTGTCTGACATTCGCTATTGATTTACGCCCTTTGACATGCCTGCTTATTATGTTCATCCTTACCTAAGTTCATATAAATTTACTCTCACTTCATAGGTTAGATCACCGAAACCAAATTTGGATAAATGTTTACCATTAAGTAGACCTAAATCAATGTTCGACAGAGAAAAATTTAAAGAGGATTTTAGAGAGATCAGGACCCACAATAAACTTATATGGACCCCAGGGTAATATGAATTAGTTTATTTGTCGAAATATATTCACATATAGAACCTTGACACCGCAATGCGTTGAAGTATAATTATATACATTAAAACGATATCAGCTAACTTCAAATAGTCAATAAAGGCAACATCACATTATTTAAAACATTAATAAAAAGCATAATTCGGTCTAATCCATGCTGGATAAAGAATTAATGACTTCACGGACACGGACGGACACGAAGGTTACATGGCCCCCAAGTGGGGCAGAGGGCATCCGGCGTAGAAAACCAGCCTGATCGCTCCTGGGCAGCTCTCTTAATTTCACTCCACGTCATTCCAATTTCCTCCCGAAGAATTAATAATGATACTATATAATCCGTTTATTTAGAGGTTTTTTCTCTTGGTTTAAAATAATACTGATTTTAGAAATTCTCATAACTTAACGAGTAATATGGGCTACGTCAAATAATTAAAACTAATTAATTTCCAAGGTACAATAAATAGAGTAATGCCAATTTAGAACATTAACTAATTTAAGTTAGTTTACTAGCTAATTATTTTCCCGTAACAATTAGTCAAAAAACTCAGCGGGCTTATTTGCATATCAAACAATTTCAAGTGATAACTGGCGCTAGTAAATTCGAAATAATGATCGTTCAAGTTACCCTTGTGCAAAAGTATGTAGCTTTAATGTGTTGAATGCTAAAAATAATATTTGATTTCTAGGTCTTTTCGCACCGAAGTGAGGGACAATTACAAACAACACGAGTCAAAAATACACAACTATGAAAAGGATGTACAGAATTTTTTTCAACGGACAATAGCGCATTTATAAACATATTTAAGAACTATCCCTTAGGATACGACAAATAATTTTTAATATCATGCTAGGAATTGAATACAATAAAATATGTTTTTTATGAGCATTGGCCGAGTGGCTTCAGCGTGCGACTCTCATCCCTGAGGTCGTAGGTTCGATCCCCGGCTGTGCAATGGACTTTCTTTCTATGTGTGAATTTAACATTCGCTAGAACGGTGAACGAAAACATCGCGAGGAAACCGTATGTCTTAAGGTGGGAACTGACCAAAGTTACGAGGTGTAATGTAGCATTCGCATCGAGCGTGTTACGCATCGAGCATGTTACGCTGTGTTCTAAAATCGGCGTAACATGCTCGTGAAAACTCTGTGCTCCACTTTCGCCGCCAGTGTTCACGAGATGTGATAGTGATAATGTTGATATCTTTCATTCTATTTAATTATTGTTTCATCCAAATAAAGAACAAGAAAAAATTTTACTGGACATAAAACTTATTTAAAAACACAGGCGTATGAGGTGGTTTGTTATTGATTGCAATATTAAAAACCAAATGATTACTGGACAGTATAAAAACTTTGTATGCAGGTCTCGATTTTGAAGAACTTTTGAATTTAATTGGACCAAAAGTACTTAAAAAAGACACAATTTATAGAAAATCATAATCATGATCACTCGCGACGTGCGAAGCGTAATTACTGAACCGTCAAAGGATTCGCCAAAAAACCGACAGCCGGGTGGAGCACTCAAAGCGAGCAACGAGCGGATCGTTGCTCGCTGGTTTCCCCGTAACACGCCGTACTGACTGCACGTATGCTCGCTGTGTAACGTGTTACATTACACCTCGTCACGTTGGTCAGTTCCCACCTTTAGACCCAAAAAAGTCGAAGGCGTGTGTCAGGCACTGGAGGCTGATCACATACTTGCCTATTAGATTGAATAATCATGAAACAGATTAAGAAGTCTGAGACCCAGACCTAAAGAGGTTGTAGAGCCACTGATTTATTTAAAATATGTTATTAAACTGCAACTAATAGAAAAGTAATAAGTTAAATAAATATATTATTAATTGATTAATTTGTGAATTCAACAATTCTGATTTATTATTTTATGTGTTAATAGATCCGCCCGATCCGATATTATAATAGTATCTACTTACCACTGTTAGGAATAGTACTTACCAATGGTATCCTGAATGTGTTTGTTACAAAAAAACATGTATATCTTAAAAGGTGGGAACTGACCAAAGTTACGTGAGGGGGTGTAATCGTATTCATCGTCGCATTGAGGGCCTGTTACGCATCGAGCATATTACGCTGTGTTCTAAAATCGGCGTAACATACTCGTCAAAACTGTGCTCCGCTTTCGCCACCAGTGTTCGCGAGATGGCCGACAGCGAGGACGTGTTGATATCTTTCATTCTATTTCATTATTGTTTCATCCAAATTAAGAAGAAGAAGAAAAAATGTTACTGGACATCAAATTTATTTAAAAATACAGGCTTATGAGGTGGTTTGTTATTGATTGCAATATTAAAAAACCAAAAGATTACTGGACAGTATAAAAACTTTATACGCATGTCTCGATTTTGATGAACTGTTGAATTTAATTGGACCAAAAGTACTTAAAAAATACATATTTATAGAAAATCATAATCATGATCACTCGCGACGCACGCCGCGTGGCTGACCTCTGAAGCCGCGTAACAGTCAAACGGGATTTCCCCAAAAACCGACAGCCGGGTGGAGCACTCAAGCAGCGAGGCCACGAGCGGCTCGTTGCTCGCTGATTTCCCCGTAACATGACGTAGCTGACTGCTCGAATGCTCGCTGTGTAACGTGTTACATTACACCTCGTAACTTTGGTCAGTTCCCACCTTTAAATCGTTAGTATGCTGTCCATGTTCATGCCCCACTATAGTTTTTTTGTTTTGTTTATTAACCAATAAGCAACCAAGACCGAATTGTTAGTACCTCTAACTAAAACTTCATATAATGTGATATAAATAAGTATATTATTATTAAGTCACGCAAAAGATACTTAATTCGCAAACAAGTTAAAACATATAAAAAATAAAATTCTTACAAATTTCCATAAAATTTAACTTTAATGTAATTTACCTTCCAATGGCATACGAGTACAACATAGACAAATTTTTGTGTCTACTCAATATTCTTTATTATTACTCTGACATTTCATATTTTCCACTAGAATCGAAGCCACGGAGATTGCCCATACGAATTGAATTTTATAAAACCTCTTTATTCTTGACGGAATCATCCAACACGTCAAAAATTTGGGTAAATATTTCAAATACATCAACAAAATGGAAAATGTATAAACGCGTGATAAAATAAATCTTACACAAGAAACAAGCAAAATGTTTATAAAAAATAAATGGAAATTTTATATTTCATCTGTGTCATCCTCTTGATTTCGTATGTAATTTATTTAATACAGCCATATTGGATATTTATATTATCGTTCGCTGTTGTTTATACAATGTACAGTCAAATATGTATGATATTTTAAATACAGACTTCTAGGTAAGAATATTATTATTTAGTTATTTATCAATATTTAATATAGGGAAATTTTGAGTGTGTAATTATAATGTCCTTGCACCGCATATGAGATTCAAACCCCGGATAACTTAAAAAACGCCGTCACAATTTTTCTAAGGCGCAATATAATTTTATTAATGGTGTGTATAAGAGAGATTAGCCGTAGCTGAATCTGCCTTGAGAACAATATTCTTAATCAACTTGCTTGATAGTAAAAATATCTTACGTATTATTAATCCCTTACTGTGCATACAAAAATCTCACAGAATTGTCCTTACGCCTAATTTAGATACTTCTACTTATAATATATTCCAGAATTTTATATAATCCATCTAGTATCTCCAAGCTATGTTCTCACGCAAATCCAAGCGATCAAATCATGCCGAGGGCCAGCATAGAGTTAATTGGCGGATGTTGATTTAAATATTCTCGCACATATGGCGTCCTAGTCTCTAACGTAAGTAGAAATTTGGTAGAGTACAAATATACAACACGGAGGTAAACAGTATGAGGTTGAATATCATTTATTTAAGGTAAAATCATCTGCTCCAACTAATAAACACGTGATCAGACAAAACTAGCGGCGTTTTTATATTATGAATAGATTATCAATTGTCTAATAAAATTATTATCAGATTTTAATTTAAAGAAATGACAAAGATAATCAAACCATTGTATTGTCAGGTTTCGAGATTATAAGCGTTACTTTTTTCTATTGAGAAATACATTTACAGAACTCCACGCCGGGGCACCTTATTAAAGTGACGTGGGGGTATGGGAGTCGGTCCGGGAGCTTGCTTTCTATGGATGGAGGCAGGGTAATAGTTTCCATACAATTATTTCTACGCTTTACGTTCCCTTGAGATAGCTGAGATACAAAATACTTTTTTTACACTTATAAACAAAATACAGGTTAAACCAGAAACTTTTCCGCGTCTATTGACAGCTTCATTACTTTACTATCGATTCCGATTTCAATATTGAGTTAATAGTAATTCCAATGTGATGTCAAGAACAGCTAAATTTGCTTTCTTCGTAACAATTAATAATTGTAATTGGTGCTTTCTAAGAGATTTCCATAGTCTAATAGAGCAGGTGGTCCTGCAGTTCCTTTTCTTTCTTCTTTACCAAATCATTTAGAACCAAGTGTACAAGCCAAGGGTACACATTTTGCTCACTCAGGTGTTCTTAGTGTTATAACCGTGGCGAATAGAATAGAATAGAAAATGTTCCGCTATATTTTCTCACATTAATAGCATTTATTTATTTGGCATTACATTATTCTTTTCTTATACGTGAGTGGTAAAATATGTAAAAATAAAAACCTCTATTATGAAAACCCTCCCGTTGACCCAGGAACCGTACAACTAAAAATCTGTATAAAAACACTTTAACAGTATATTAAAAAGTTGTGAACAAATAATACTAGTGTTGAATAAATAATACTGAAGTGTCAATACATTAAGATACACGTTATTAGTATTTGTAGAGCATACACCGTGTTCGGACGTCAAGAAATATTCGAATACAAATGAATATTGATAATAATCGATATGGATATAAGTGATATTTTTTTGTTGACGGTGCTATTAATTAGTTCTGGAAATGCTATCAGACCGAAGGTTTGTTTTTAATAATTAGTTTTTTAATCTATAAATGTATCGATTTATTAATTACACTTATTTAAAATGTTAAAATGGTTGAAATAATTCCTAGTTAAATAGATATAAAAATAAATTGATCGCTTCGTTGCGTATGAAAATATACTAGTTGCTAAATGAAGTTAATTTTACAGCGGATATAATGTTTCCGAACCTGAAGGTTGTCTTAGGTTCGAAATACTCAATTATATCTATGTATACAGTTTAACTGTAAATTTGAACGACATGTGAATAACAATTAATGAATATGAACACAATAGGTAATAATTAACAAACATAATATTTTTTACGTCACATATGTTATTACATATTTCCATTTTTAATATTCTTTACTTTACATTATATCTTTACAATATTATGCCATCTTAGGAGTACATTAATATTGATAAATATGTGAGGAAACCTTTTTGGGATTTCTAATATTATGTTTTATTATGATTATAGTTTAGTTCTAATAAATCCTAGATTAAGTACCAACAAATATCCATTTATTTTTTCGAAAAGTTTTGTAAAACATTAAAGTAGTAAGTGGGTGACTAGTGTTTGCAATTTCTCAGTACAAACCAGTAACTATACGAGGTCAAAATGAACATGTGGGACAGTAAAAGTGGTCCTACCTCTCTATTTCAATGTTAATATATTAATATGACCCGATGGAGGACCTTAGAGAAGGTCTTACGCAGGTCCATAGACAAAGTAAATTATCATTGCTAAGCCGTAGGACGTGTGATTATGATATTGGTTGACGTAGTAATCGCCAATTTTGACTCATAATTCTAGTGATATTCAGGTCCCCGGCAGCCATACGTTTCTTGTCTGGCTTAAATCTAGCCGTACTTGCGACCGCAGTTCCTAATTTAGTTAAAAATCGTTATCTTTTATAGAATCAAATGGATCACGTTTGTCAAAAACTACCGGACGGACTATTGCTTCACCAATAGAATAGTCTAATTCTTGAAGAAAGTTTGGAAGGAAATTGTTTGTGAGGTTTTATGTAAATTGACTAAAATATAACGTTAATTGTTTAAGACGACGTTAAAATGTTTGTTATCATACACGAAATCCTGCGCTATTGAATTCTGATTCCCGATGATCAGCATAGTTCTTAGTAAGGTATAATCAAATCTTGGAATTCAGAATTCAGCGCAATGTTTCAATCTCCTGTTCCATGTTTTTGCGTTCGTCATATCACTCAAGTATAAGCCATGACATAGTGATATAAATAACAGCAATAGTCGTATTAATTTAAATTATAAGTCAAACGATTGAAAATAGTTATACACAATTGACAGGATAACAAACTATCAATAATTGTCACTAAACAGTTTATTTATTTATTAGCCAGGCAGCGATTACGTAATATTTAAAAATTATTGCCGAATACTGCGGAAGGATGAGAATCAGAACAACAAATGTTATAACAATAATAGCTGAAAAGTTCGTAGGCTAAAATAGAAAAAAATATTTTTTTAGATAGAATTTGATTCGGCTTCGCGAACGATACAATGATTATAGTGGTCATACGATTTTTCTTTACCATTTTTATAGTACGATTTGCCTTTAGCTAAAAATAGACTTCACACACAAATTACATATACAGTTACAATACAATATAATAACTAAAATTGCATAAAGTTAAAAGTACTATGGTGATGGTCCATACTCCATGGTTTAAAAACACTGTTTTACTGTGGTGATTCCTGTAGGTTACCCGAACCCGAAACACGAAAAATAATTTTAATAATACAAAAACACAGCAAAAATTATGTTCTGTAAGAAATTACGCCTTTTTTAAAAAACTGCATCTTTTTCAGTTACGGCTAACAGTATACTATGAGAGTGAGTGTCCTGATAGTGAAACATTTATACTCAAGCAACTTCAGCCGACAGTGCAACAACTGCACAACTATACTACACTTGAACTAGTGCCTTTCGGCAAGGCAAGGGTGAGCTTACGACAAATTCATAGACTACAGCTAAAAAATATAGAAAGATGTTTAATACTGGTTTCGTTCAATATCTAAAGAAAAATAATATTACTTTTGAATTTTCCAACCCGAGCCAGAATGGTTTTCTTTAGCAGGTGTCTAAATAATAAACTAATATTATAAACATTTAGCATTTGTGTATGTTTTCAATAAATTAAAAAACTGAACCGATTTAAAACAACCACAACATTATCCCTGATTATTAAACTAAATTTATTAACTGTATAGATATTTGTTTAGTGGGTAATAAATAAATTGCCTTTTTTAAAGAAGCCATATATTAACCAACAAAGATCATACATACATTCTTTACTAAATAAAAAACGTATATAACTTATAACAAATGATTCACAGAGTATAAACTATGGTAACGACGGCTTCCAATGCCAGCACGGCTCCTCAGAGTGCCTTGGTAACATGGTACAGGACTGCGCACTTAATCGTATGAAGCAGTACACTGATGTTATGAAAGTGGCTTATGTCGCCTGCGAGATGAAAACCAGGTCGGGGGCTAAAGGAGATCTGCATGTAAGACTTTTGCCTATGAATTTATTTATTTTTATCACATTTTTTCACACAGTTAAGTTGGTTAGGCTTCGTTCTACCTTGACGTCTGGCGTTCTACACAACGCTTTTTAATATACTTATTGTATTTCCGAACCGTTACAAATTAGGCGCCTTTAAGAAGAGAGTACCTTAAAGGCCAGCCATGCACTTGAAAACCTCTCGGTGATTTAGATGTCCATGGGCGGCGTGTTTACACTTAACATTAAATGTCCCGCCTGCTTGTTTGCCTGTCGTATAAAATTAATAAAAAGCAACTAGCGGGCCTTATCCAGTGTGTCCATAGGATTACCTAACACATACTCGATGCACCTGGATGTGCCATAGCAGTCCCAGAACTGTTAAAGCATTATTATACGGAATACGAAGAGTGTTATACGTTTTACGAGAGAACTGCTAGGTTATACTATACCTAAGTTTTTGTGAAAATGCGAGGGAACGTCTCCGAATCGAGACTAGTTTAATCATGAAATTATATCAAAAACGGTTTCGACAAACGGGTGTCATAGGTCGTTCATTAGTGTTCGCAGTAAAGCGGGCCATAGACGGACCGCATGTTGCAGTCAAGACCGACTGCAATATGCGGTTTGCTCAGGAACTGCTCGAGCGGTCCGTGTATTGCGAATATGAATTTAGTATGGAAACTGCAGATCGCCGTGCGGCGACCGCATATTGCAGTCGGTCGTGACTGCAACATGCGGTCCGTCTATGGCCCGCTTTAGTCTCTGAATTTTACCCGTAGACGGCTTTATCACCAGCGGTTTTTTGGTCTCTCATGAACATCCCAAGCTCTTTTATATATAGTTAGTTTTTATTGCCTTGTTATGTTAACTGGAAAAAATTAAAGCATTAAACCATTAAACTTAATAATATGCGTCACTAATAGTACGAATCATTGTATGTTAAAACCGTATTTATTGATATTGTTAATGTGAATGCGATAAGATATAGAATGCATTAACTTCGCAGATTAAAAATAAATCTTTACATTTCTTTTTTTGTATAGATGGACAACAAAATCGGCTAAGTTCAATATTCTAAATAGATGAATATAAAGTTGTTTATTTTATATTGTACAATAAATAATTCTTCTTATTATTTTATTGTTAATCCGTGAGTTCACCTCGCACTAACAACGCTCCCTTCGTCACTCACGTCACGTCATTTTTGGAATCTCATGGTATTCTGATAAGCAATTTCACATTACGTCTTGACAAGCGGAGGGACCGTGTAGTTTATTGATTATCAGAATGCCAAATCGTAAAATGACTGCTCCACGACTGATTTGAGCGCGACCGCCGCTGCGAAAACCGCTGTGAGAGTTCGAAAAGTGAGTTACAGAATCGCAAGGCTGTACAAGAAAAATATTAACAGAGTTATTTATATTTACTATCCCAACTCAGAAACCATTATTTAAATCTTTAGATTATAATATTTACACGGTTTTCACTACTTTAAATATTTAGTAAACTTATCAATTGTTTAACATTTTCAGTGTGTCCAAAATGCGAAACTGTCTCCTAAAGATGTAGAAGACTGTGTCTTGACAGGTGAAGGAACATCGCTACAACTTCACAGCGAATACCAAACTAACAAAGTGCGACCCACCTTCATACCGACTATCACTGTTAACGGGGTAAGAATAAGCTGAAATTTCAAACTAACATAAAATGTGGAATAAAAGATCGAAACAATTTTACATAATATGTTTCATAGAGACTATTACGGCTCATGCCCACGACCCGGTTTTTCGGGTGTATGTCCGGTCGACAGTCTTGTATGGGACACTATGACGCCATGCACACGACGCGGCTTTCTGCGCACCCGGGCACGATGCTCGCCGCGTATACGCCCGGTGCGCAGTGGAGTATGGCAGTGTATGAGCGGCGCGTGCCGACTACCTACGCAGTACGCACAACGCAATATTATATTATATAATTAGTGAAGTCGACCAGGAATTATTAATCGGAGATATACTACTGCGCCTATTTGTATCTTCATGTTTAAGTTTGGGTTCCAAAATATGTAACATTTTTATAATGTTTCTTTTTTCATTCAAAAGTACTTCTCAAATTTCTCGTCATAGTTGCTTCTGAATGAGCGTATGAAATGCACCATGATCTTCTCTTTCTGTTCACATGGGAGGTACCCAATGTCGTCCATGTATTTTTTCTCGTCTTTTTTTAGCTTTTTATACATGTACCACGCAATAATACATTTCCTCTTTTTAACACTCAACATTTTATACGTCCACAATTCATTGAATGAAAAGACCGTATGAAGGCGGCACCTCGATGAAACCGGGTCGTGTACAAACCGTCTTGTGTGCAAGCTCGGACGGTTTCTACCCGGCGCCGGCCAAAAACCGGGCCGTGTTGAAACCGTCTCGTGGGCATGAGCCCTTATGGATCCCATCTGCGGCAATCAAATATTTGATTGAGGCAAAATTCTCTAAAAAAATTTACTAAATTCTCTAGTCACCTAGTGTGCCTCATTGTACTTTAATGCTATACTATTAGTATTCTTAGGAAAAATAACAGGCGATGCAATAAGTATCGCACTAATAAGAGTATTATTTATTATATATATTTCCTATATTATTAACATAGGAAATAATGTTATTTTGTTTTAGGTATTTGATCAACACATTCAAGATAATGCCCAAGTGGATCTTTTCAGTACTCTGTGTTCAATATTGAAAGAAGCTGAGCCGTGTGCGAAACGCTATAACTGGATGGCACTTAATTATGTATTAATAAATCAACGGTGAATATATCTATTAAAACAGTGTTGTTTTTAATTTACAATCAATAACTTTGTTTGCGTCAAGCAATTAAGCACCAGAAGCTAGAACTAGACTAGTGTTACATGTGTTACGCTCGTTATAAAGTCATTCTTTTTAGTCTTCATCACAACTCTTTCTATTGTTAACCATGTCTTCAGTTAAATATAATTCAGCAGTAACCCGCTGATTTTGCGCGTAGTTCTATATATATGAGATACAGCTTCTTTAGTTACTGTAAAACATAACAAATACGAATGAAGATACTTAAGTAAGATACGAAATGCTTGAAAGACTACATGTGGCTAATCTATTATTTGACCCAATCGGATAACTGCGGGTCACAAGCCTGTATGCCTGACTACTTTCTAAGTTTTAATAGAAAATAGTGTAGGCATAGTACCATATAATATTTTATGATTTTTAACACTTGAAATAATAATCCCTAAGGTAGTGCGTCCAAATTACGGCTGTGTACCCATCGACATACCACTTTTTACTTATTTGCATTAGATTCATACAACTATGTGCGTACAACACGATAAACATCGCGTCCTCCGTCACGGTGTTACGGACATACACAAACATACCTTAGACCCGAAAAATGTACCGCGTGTGTTAAACACAGTAAGCTGATGACTTTATAGTCAGGATTAAGAAGAAAATTATTACGAAACAAATACAGAAACCTCAAGACAAGACCAAAGTAGGGACACTGTTTTTAAATTTGGCTGGGGATTGTTGACTAATTCGGATAAATGGGTGCAAACTCAAATTTAAAATAAAAACAACAATATTAAAGGCACTTTTATTTGGGTCTTAAAAATAATTCTATAAATAAAGCAAAGATATAATATACTTTAAAACCACGTGTCGATAATTTTACATCGATTTTCTATGGGCCTTGATATAACATTATTTACAATGACATTTTCAATGCTTGATAACGTGTGTTTTACAAAACTTATGTATACAATGAATTAAACCTTGATATCACGATATTACAACAGAGTTATTAGTAATAATGCTTTGTATTCAAAAGCGCAGCAGGTAGAGAATCGAAAAGAATTTTTTGTAATAATAATAAAAATCTTTATTTCTTCTCTCACATATACATACAAGGTTATTATGATTAAACTAAGATGATAACATTAGGAAGTGTATGTGAGAGACTGGTCTCTGTAACAGGAGACCTGAGTGACAAATAGCCAGCCTCTCCACCACCGGACCGGAACACGTACAATCAGGTCATTGTCATAAGATACAATAGAAGAAATAATAGTGTGTGTGTGTGCGCACAATAATTTATTTGTCAGTTTATTTATTGTACAGTCAATACCAAATTACAGTTTTCACCTACTGAATAAAACTCAGTTTGCTGAAGTCTTAAACTAAGTCTATTTTTTATAAGGAGTTTCATTGCATTAATTTGTGGGAGAGTTATCGACAATCCAGCGATGGTAGTGGCCTACATTGGTGTATACGCTGGGCACACCTTCACTTCCGCAGTTCTCGGAGCCGAATGAGACTATGCCAACCTTGAAATAATATGTTACATGAAGGGAAGAAAGTGAACGATTCCAACCGAGGGTTTAGTAAAACAATTGGCTCGGCTGATTGCCTTAATACACAGAGGGTGAAATCATATTTCTTCCGAATGTGATAGTGTTATCTACTACACTTTACAAAGAAAATGAAACGAAGTTTTGATTAAAATATAATTAATTAGTTGATAAGGAACGCAAACACGTTCATTGTTTCTTTTTTATTCATAGGTAAGTGGCTGGTATCATTGCGCACTTGGAGATAACTTTGTTAATGACATCAATTAATTTTAATATAAAGTTCTGCCTCATTATCAGCAACACTATGGCGTACTTTCAGCAGGTGAATTAAATATAATTGTCTTAGTTATGCGTATGTAAAATAAGTATGAACCTAGAAAACTCAAAACTTTATTAGTTAAGGTAATTTTTCAATTTAACTCTAAAGATTCATGACGTGAAGTAAATAATGAGTTTTATTTAAATATTTTCTTACCTGTACAAACATGCCATCCCTCTTCATAACCAGGGGGAGCCCCACCAAAACCGGAACAAGCGTCCTTCCCCTGTTCCCCCCCAGCGCATAATTGTCCCTCGTGTATGGGCACGGATTCACCGAACACTCGCTCACACGTTTCTAAGGGAACTACCGGGACTTCCAGCTGTTGTTGACGACTCCCCTTAAAAGATGCAAGTTTTAACGTATTTTAAATAGATCTTCGTGGTCTATTGCTTCAAGATGTGATGTTCAATGTTTCAAGGAGGGATCCTTGAAACATTGTAAAATAAAAATTTGCCGATTTAAAAGAGTGACGGAGAGTCAATAGCCAATTCTTCTCGTGCGCTTTACGCTTTTGATTTGAGAACTGGCAGTAAACGTAGATTTACAAGTATTTTATATTGTCTTTATGAATTAATATTTTTTTTTAATTATTCTAGTTTTTGGAAACTATTCAAAACGGTATGTTGTTTAAAGTTAATTGAGAACCCTCAAAATCAGAGAATCATCATAATTTAATTAGATAAGTTGGAGAATGTGTCTACAAAAGCAATAATTAAGATTCTCGCTCAGATCTGTCGCTGTATTTTTGTACAAATTGCAATGCTCTTAAATTGGCATAATAGCACTTACTGCTGTACTTTGTCCGGACAGTTTTCCCCAGCCCACGAGCGAAGCCCGTTCGTCCACTACCAATGGTCTGTCATTGAGGCAGATAGGTGCAGCCGTCACTGGGGTGATCAAAAATGATTAAATATATAAAATAATATAGTTGGTGATTTAGATATTTAAGACGGGCCTACTAATAAACCAACAAATGCACTCAGAACATACAGGTCACGGAAAAATTAAAAAAAAGGAAATATATCTTAAAAACCATCAGATTCTGAATTTTCTCAATACACAACACAGCTATTTTAAATATAGTCAATACATACTAATATGATGTTACAGAGAAATCTATTTCTCACAACAGAAACTGGAAAAGAATATTAATAGCAAATATACAATATTTTATTTGATTCGATTGAAAATCAGATGATGACGGTGAAAATCAATTCAGTGTCTGCTGCAGCTGAAAGCCAGAAATTGGCGGAAGGTGGTGCAGGACAGGGAGCAGAACTTTCTCGTTTCGGTGGCCAAGGCACTTTTTGGGTCGCAGGACCAGCGGAGTGTGTGTGTGTGTGTGTGTGTGTGTGTGGAGGTCATCATAACATTTTCAACGACGGCACTCTGTATCTTTAATAGCAATCCCGACGTTTTTAAATGCAATTATTAGGGAGTTCTCCCAATTCCTGTAGCGCTAACCTCGCAACCTTGATCTCATGTGGTACTCAACATTAAAGTCGAGTTCAGTTCTACTATGCAAGTTACAGAGTACCAGCCGTGGTCGAAAAATTAAGAAATGTAATACATTCTTCTCCTGGTATTGACGCCATTATCGTGATGTGTTTTGGTTATCACTACTAGACTTCGGTTCTTTAAAAGGCTTAACAAACATGAAGACGCTATTTTGAGAGTTATGAATGTAGTATTTACCGGAGTATTTAATTTCGTCCTTCAAAATGATGAGGGCTATGTCATGTCTGAATATCTTCTGTTCGTATCCAGGGTGTACAGAGACGCTCTCAACTTTGAGGGCTTGAGGTGGCGGCGCACAGAAGAAATCTGAACAATCGGGACTACGGCTGACGTCCCATTCACCCACCACCACTGTGGATCTATTACATAAATAAAAGTCCTTACAAGATTTCTTGAAATGAGTGCACATATCCCAAAAAATAATGGCCCGATTTTGATAATAAACTGTAAAACAAAAAACTTAGCGATTAAAAGTGGCGGAGAGTTTATTGCCAGATCTTCTCTTCCGTTCTATTACTGCCAGTTCCAGCATTTAATATGTATTTCATTTTGACGTTCATAAGTGTACATTGTGTTACCTAAATGAATTAGAATTGATTTGATTTTCCTAAGTTAGCTATTTAAATCAAGATATGAAATTTGGTTTTGATACTTCTGAATTTAAAAGAATTAAGCACGTGCTTGGAACTCATATTCAAACAACATACATGTATAGGTCAAATTCATAGCCTCGTTTTCTACGTCAGTTAAAAATGTACAATTCAAAACACCTACATATAGCAGAAGAGGACAACGCGATGCAATATCAAAAAATATATAGTGTAATTATATATTGTGAATTTTATATACTATATAAACTTACGCTCCGCTTTTTCATATTTGAATTTTAATGAAGCATACATAAATTATTTAGTTTATACGTTAATGACGTTTAATTACATATATTACAAATTGGCTATTACTTTCAGTTACGGCTATAAATGGTGTACAAGTTATAATATTTTTAATATGTATTGTCATACTTACAATTTGTACCCTTCCGGTTTGGCCAACGCACAGTGAGCAGCTGTTAGAATTATCCTTTTGCCGATGATGGAGCCTGTACACGCAAACTTCACACTACCCGTATCTTTATCTGGAAAATGACAATTCAATATTCTTGTTATTACATTTATACAAAAAAATGTGTGCGTGTACTAGGTGTACACACGTAAGAAGTGAAACTTCTTTATGACCTTATTTTTCGAAAAATGATCTACTATATGGAACTCTACAGAAATTGGTTAAATAAAGCTAAATTAGATAAAGTTTTTATTTATTATTAGATAAAGGCTTTTATTATCATAGACATGAATACAAATACAATTATTTCATTTTACCTTATTACTACTAAGATTAATACAGAATTTCATTAGTTGTAATAGAATTATTACTATCATTGTTATCGTTATTATATATTTTTGTTATTAATGGCTTCGAATCTCTTTGGATCAACCGTGGTAGGGACAAGAAAAAGATGGCGCGTAACCGAAAAATGTGACGGTTTGCTACAAAATTTCTCCCATACGTCGATAAAGAAGTTTCACTTCAAAAATATATAAATATGGGGGAGTAAGGATACACCTCAGGGTTGCGTATACACTACTTTTATTGTTAATAATAAAGATTTTATTCATAAAAAGTTACATATCTCATATCTCAGCACTTCAATTCCTTTTATACTAACTGATATATCATCATACTAACTTGCGAAACCCACTCTAGCCACCCAGGGCTGTGCCCCTAAACCATTATAGTCAATCCCTCGTACCATGCTCTGTCCACATTCAGGGTTGCCATGTTGATACACCCGGCCACACTCACAAGACGGACAGCACACAAAATCTTCTTCATTTGAGCTTCCACATGTTAATTCATTCAAACGGAGAAAATATCTGAAAATATTTATATCTTCTTAAATATTAAACAATGAGACAGCTAGATATCCTGAACATGGCCATACCTACTCTTCTGTCTTATTTATTGATTATTATTACCAAACCTTATAACATATTAAACTTAGTATTAAACCCAAGAGTAAATTTATTTACATACTTGTTTGGACGACTATCATATTAACATAAGAAATACTTTAAAGAACAGCATCCAATTATACCTAGAAGATAATCATATCATCAGTTACCATTATTTTTACCTTAACTTATAATTTTTAGAATAGCTAATGTTTTTAAGACGATGTGAAAATGCCCATATGGTCAATAAATATTCAAAACAGGACATTGACTAGTATTTAGCTTAGTTCATACAAAATGTGTATCATATATTCCAATCACTTTTATGACTATAAGGATATTTATTATTTGATAAATCAAATAAACCTTAACAAGTTCAACAAGTAGGATATACAAGGCAACCGTGGATGGTGAAGTCAGGTTAGGCCTACCAGCCGTGTAGTAAATATCTGGACCAAATCCAGGAGGTACTAGAGAAGGAAAAAGTTAAAAGTTAAAGCATCATGGTGAATGTCATGAAAGTGGATGAAGCATAAGGTAGGTATGTCAGGACGATAGCAAGTGGAGATCCGTGGTCTATGCCTACCCCTTTGGGAAAAAGCTGTGAACATATAAATAAATAAAAACAAACTTTACCTATCTGATGAGAAACATGCATAATCCAACAAATCTTCTAATAGTGGACATTGACTGACTGGAACACATGTTGTATTGGGTGGACATCTTGCCTGAAAAATATATTTTAGATATAAACAAATAGTACCAATGTTTCACTTCTTTTATTTTGTTTCTGAATGAAAAGACAAAATTATTTCATTTTCTAAAAAGACCTAAAAGAAAAATAATAGTTTTAATACATGAGTTTTACATGTGATTTACAACACCTGTAAAATTTTTCGCAAAATGCTGCTTTGTTTATTCTGCACCCACCAAAATCGATAAAATTTCTATTTTCTTTTATGGTAAACATACTACTATACCTATCTCTTTCATCTTATTTATTCTTAGAATCTACATAATTTAGGTAAGTTTCTTTTTATGTAGCTACTTACAAGATTTGAATCACCGTCAACCCGTGGATTCCTTTCTAAACTTATTGATATACCTAAAAAGAGAACTTACATTAAAATGATTTCTAAGACATTCTTTCGTATAGTGTTTTGATGTTCGTACATCTAAATATATAAAAGAAAGTCGTGTTAGTTACACCACTTATAACTCAAGATCGGTTGGACCGATGTTAGTTATCTCTTTTTTGGTGGATTCTTCTCCGCTCCAAAGCAGAATAAGTAATTAAATATCGGATAAATATGTAACAATAAATATATTAATTAATTTTACGAATGCAAACACCATGTGGTGCCATCTGTTGACCATTCGTGTCAGTTCAAGAAATTCCGATCTTGAGGTGAATGAGGAGATGCATAACCAGGCTTTGATCTTGATCGAAGACATGTGTTACCTCATTAAAAAATGTTGTATATCAGAAAGTAGTAAGTACTTCAACATGCAGTATCGCAATATGGGCTCTAGAGAGAAGCGTAAAACTGCCATTCTTCTTTCGCAATGGCAAGAAATAAAACATTTCTGTATTTGAAAAAAAAGTTGTATTAATGTTAACCTTCATGAAATCCTAAAATAAGTTTAACTAAAGTTAACACGATATTATTAGACTAGCCAATAATTGGGTTTTTTTTTTCAAAGAATTTTGTGTTACAGCTTTGGAAAACTTTGAGAAAGTGATATACAATATGGGGCTATTTATATATATATATATATATATATATAAATAATGCTTTAATTTTAAACAAAGTTGTGAAAAATATTTATATATGATATAATATGAGTGTTTTAGATTTATAACATGCAATCTATTTGTTGTTTTGATTTCGTTAATGCGTAAAACGGTGCGCCATATATTTTTTTAAAGCAAACTAAAAATTGACTATCAAATATTCCCCGCCTTTTTTCATTTAAGATCTTGGAAGTGATGGTTATTGTTCTGATTCAAAATCGTAAATTATAGAAGCATGTGTTATGTAGTTTTTATCTTATTATTATTATATAATTAACGAGAAACTGAAGAAATTTGTAACATTTATCGTATTGGAAGTCCATGTTGGTATTATTAATAATTGTTGTTCAATCTTTGTTCCTGTTCTTTCCAATTAATTCTTTATAAAATTTAACAGTTTGTATATATGTATAACACTAATACTAATCGAAAAAAGCAACCAAGCTTATACAGAAGATCACGTTCACGTCTTGTAGTTCTGTTACTTTTACGTACACGTTCTATTACGTCAAAGAAGTGTGTGTTCTCTTCAACTCAACAGAACACTTATTATTAAATAAAACACTGTTTATATACCAAATTAAAATGTCATAGTGTTAATAAATATTCAAATTCACCTTATTTCACATTGAATAAATATTGAAATTATCGTTCCTAGGCCCATTGTTATGGACCTATTTATTTTTTATTATTTTGGCGTTGTAAGCTTTTGTTCGCATACAAACAACAAAGTCAAAATTGTGCATAATAATAAAAACCAATGTTGCATGAGTAATCATCATTACAAATGACCTTGCACCGTATTCTCATCACAAATCGAGGCTGTTCACTGAATACCACATTACTGTAATTACTATGTCCTTGATGTCAGTTAATTTATGAAATAAAAACTATATGTAGAGACGGTATAATCAAGCTATAATTATTTATAATAACAATAAAGACGAATGGCTGGTTTAATAAAAAGATAATTAAAATTCGTAAATTCTAAGGAGAAAATTTAAAATTATCAAATTTAATTTAAAATTTGTAAATGAAATACAAAATTGTAAGAGGCAAAGCTACGAGAAAAATTTGATGTTGACTTACGCATTATTTATGTTTCTATTAGAATTGATGTAGGAAACGAATGTTAGTTCTAATATAGTTTAATGATAAGAAATCAAATATCCCTAAAACATATTTACAGATACAATCGAAAGCCTCTCGCTGCTCTATAAAATCAAAACAGTAGCGCCACCTTTTTAGGTCTGGGCCTCAGATTTCTGTATCGATTTATTGCTCGATGCTTTACATAAAAATCGGGCAATAAATTTTGTACATGAATTGCATCGTTATTTAGAATGAATATAACGAAATATAACGAATTATTAACATAAGTATTATTATTTAAATTGTCACTTACTTCCGAACTGTCCGTTAGCGCTATTGATTAATAAAATCCACAAATACACTTGATTCATAATTAATTTCCATTCACGAATCATGATCAATTATCACTATATATTGTGCTCACATGTCACGGGCCGCGGTGTGCTCATAAATGATACGGTAGTGAGCTTCGATTGAATCACTTACCGCATTAAGAGGCGCTCAACATTTTCAATAATGGTTTGAGTTCCGACAAACTATTTAATTAGTATAATATATAAAATAAAACGCCTGTGTATTTCATCTCTCATATAATTTAGTTAGCATACTTCAAATAGATACTTAGGTTAGTAGAGTAGATTAATTTTTATGTAATATTTTTTTATGTAGTATTTTGGTGTATACTAAAGACCACTGTATGTCACACATCCTCTTATTTATAAAAAAAAAATAGATAACAAGGTGCATGCACGTGTGTGTCTGTATATACACTACAAAAATCAATGGAGTTTTGTGGAAAGGTAACAGTACCCTAAAGTAACTTAGTTAAGTTTTTGATTGGTTTATATATTAAAAAGTACTTTTTGTATAAACATATGTATTTATATATTAGGGCCTTAAAACCTTTTATTATATAATTTCCAACAAAAGAAAAACAATAACAAACCTGTGTGTGAATCACAACAATAATACTAAATGTTTTACACAAAATAAGACAATGAATAAATATGTTTTGAAGCAGACGTTATAATCATAAATCATTTTTAGTACATTGTAGCATTTAACATTTTATTTTTGATTAAAATAGGCAAACAAATTATTTATAATATTATAACCGTTACAAAAATAGTAATTAATAAATTAGTTTTATTTTGTAGTATGCAATTGTCAATTTGATTTCATAACAATTGTTGATTGTAGTAATTGACATAATATTACCATTCAAGTTATCATAGCTTTTTATATTGCCTCTTAACAACTCTGCAAGTTTTCTCAAAGAGTATAGCAGCGACCACAGATTACACTTGCCCATCCACACTCACCAGGTTTACCAGACTAATGACTTTTATTAACATTGTAATCTATTTTTTGGTTTCATAATCAAAAGTCGTAAGTAAATTGAGGCTGCGATATTACTAGGTAAATTAACTAGATGTAACAAAAACTATGAGGACTGGACACAAGAGGCACAGAGCGTGTTAATCGGTTTGAAAATCAGTTTTTTTGTTATTCCTTTGTTGTATTACGTTTTTATCCGACGAGATGTCATTCACACCGTCGGAGCCGCTCATTAAATATAATTGAAAACTTATATTTCGTATTATAACAGTTTATTATATCAAAGCGTAAATTGATGGCTGAAAATTGTGTCTCTTTGATTTAATTTTAAATAATAATATTAGTAAATCTTTCTTTAAATGTTAGGTTAGATCTTGATCTAGTCTAGTCATTGTACCACAGTTTCCCGACAGCTACGCCTCCACTAGTGCTTTCCCTTTATTTAATTTTTTTTTCCTTTATTTTTTTAACTGTTGACTGGAATGGATCGCTTAGTGAAATGTCCTCCTGTTACCTTCCTAATTATTTATTTAAAATTAATAAATATGTAAATAAAATCATTCAATGAAGAAACACGAAGTTACGTAAATAAAGCACTTAGTATTTATTTAGGTTATTTTTTTTAAATTCAAAAATGTAGTACTCGTGTAATCGAATACAATATTATAGATCAAGTAAATTATTGTCTGCTTTGATTGCGAGGAAGTTGCATGGATCTGGTTAGCGCTGTGTCTGATTTATTGAGTTTTCATGTTATTTCTTATTTCTTACATCTCATAAATGTTTGATTGTCCACGTATTAATATGTGTGGCATGAAACTAAAATTGACATTCATTTTAGCAGAACTTTAGAAAAACGAAAATAAAGCAGGAAACGAACGAATTCCCAAGCCATTAAATCACAGCATGACGGTGACTGACAGCGTTTCCTAATCAGATAATTATGTACATTCATAGAATACATTTTGATATACCCTCTAATGAATGGAGCCATAATATTTGAAATTTCCTACTACTCTACCTACTAATTCATCTTTTTGTAAAAAAAATGTATTGAAGGACCAAAGCAAGTGAAGGACCTTCTTGAAATAGTCAAGCTTACATCCGCATAACGGTATACAAAAAGGATTTTAACATATAAAAACAACCTCTATCAATTTATAAAAAGTAATTGAATGACGTTCGTTCGAACTGACTGTCTTTTTGATTAAAGTTATTCAAGCATGGCGTAGCGAAAATTATAACTATTCCAATTATGGCCGCGAAATTCTTAGTAGATAATGCAAGCTCCGTGTAAAGTGAAAATAACGGCGCAACAATATACCGACCCGAGGTTTAATCAAAGCAAAATGAACCTGAGAAATAGCGTTTCGGACCATGTCTTCTTCACTTATGTATGCCTGGTTGATGAAGTGAAACCAATAAATAATGGACTTAACTATGAATCCGATAGCGAAGTAAGTAACGGAGCTCGAGATATTTATTGATTTTATTTCCCGTTAATAATCTTTTTTTAGCTGGACAATGACCGGCCCATTCAAGTGGAGAGGTCGAAAGCACTACATGAACTCGTAGAAGCTAAAAAACAGCTTCAGACAACAGACCTTGAAGAAATGCAGAATGGCGTAAGTCGAATATTGTCTACCTTTGATTATTATAAATGTTTAGACAGCGTCAATATACCTGTGGAAGATGCATGGCGTACTGATCCTCCAACCTAAAGGAGGATCCACGACCAGTCTAATTCTGGCCGACCCAAAGAGCACAGTGGCTCGAGAAATTTTATACGTATATCCTGTGCGGCCGGAATAATTTCGTAAGCGCGTTTCAAAGTTCGTCGTTATTGTGCATATTGTAGATGGCTACAGGCCTTATATGGGACAGAGTTATAAAGCCTTTTGGACGATAATATCATAGAATTTTTGATACCTTATAAGATTGCCTGGAAAATATTTCCCGTTGATCTCTATTGTTTAATTATTATTATTTTGAATGATAATTTATTGTGCAACGAAATGGTAAATAAATATATGTAATCATAAACAATTCTATAGAAAATTGCAAATACAAGCAACCTTGAATCACTGCAAGAGGAATTTCTGGAGGATAATGATAATAGAAATTGTGCCAATATTTTGAAACTAACCAGAATGAAATGGCTTTCAAGTCAAGAAGGCTCCCCGGAGTCCAGGTTGGTGCATTTATCGTGTAATTTTGGATAATGTTCATATATTTGACGACATTATGTCGTTACAGAAATATAAATGCCCTGACAGGCGCCAAAGTGCGAGATAGAAAACAGAATGGTAAGCAGATTAATTTAGAATTATAGTTTAATTAAAGTAATTGTAATTTCAAATATTAGGTCCTTACATATGAAAGTTTAAAAAGAATAAAAAGTTTTGTATGGGAGGAACAAAAAGTCGAATATTTTTAAATATAATATATTTAATTAATCAAAGTATGAACCTTTGTTTTCTATGCACTTTTGCTATCTCATAGGTAGTTCATTGATCCGTTTACTAAAAAACCAGTCGGACGGGAATCAATAAAATCTGTGAAGGCGATTTGGACGGCCCCATCAGAGTTAAATTTTTTCCCTTGCAAGAAGTTGTCCAAATTTCGAAAAAAATGGTAATCTGTTGGAGCAAGGTCCGGGGAGTACGGAGGATGTCTTAGACATTCCAATTGAAGCTCTTCTAATTTGGTAGCCGTCTGTTGTGCAGTGTGTGGTCTAGCGTTGTCGTGAAGTAGCAGTGGCGTGGAGCGATTGACCAGCCTAGGTTGTTTAGCCGCTAGCTTTTCCATCATGGTTTGCAATTGCTGACAATAGACATCAGCCGTAAAAGTCTGGCCAGATTTGAGAAAACTGCAATGAACAATACCGGCACTAGTCCACCAAACGCTTACAAGTAACTTTTTTGGGGTTAATTTTCGCTTGGGGCAGGATTTGGCTGGCTGGCCAGGATCTAACCTTTGCGCTGAGCGCTTCCGATTATCGTAAAGAATCCATTTTTCATCACAGGTAATGATTCGGTTTAAAATACCTTCATTATTGTGCCGGTTCATTGATGTAACGCAGCAGTCGACGCGCGTTTTCCGGTTTGCATCAGTCAATTCGTGAGGTACCCATCTTTCAAGCTTTTTAATCTTCCCAATTTGCCAAGTGAATTAAAACAGTTTTATCACTAACACCGCAGCCTGCAGCTAACTCGGACGTGGTTTGCGATGGATCCGCTTCCACAATAGCCTTCAATACTTCATTATCAACTTGGGTCTCAGGCCGTCCACGGGGCTTGTTCTGCAGGTCGAAATTTCCAAAACGAAAACGTTGGAACCAAAAACGAACTGTGTTTTATTTTGCAACATGACCGCCATACACATCATTCACCCTTCGAGTCGTTTCCGCAGCACTAGTGCCACGGCGGAACTCGTACTCGTAAATAATGCGATACCTACTTTAAGTTTTCCATTTTGTAAAATGAGTGACGCAAACAGAAAAAAAAAACGGAAGAAAAAAACAAATGAATGACGGTCATCGAAGCACAAATACATGAGTAAATAGCTGTACAAATTTGAATTTGGAATTCCTTACCAAAGAGTAGAACATCGTGATTAAAGTGGCCAGTACAAAATACGCCAATTTCATATGTAAGGACCTAATATAAAATTGATATAGCAGTTACATACGTGGCTGTTTTATTCAACATTTTAAGTAAGTGATTAATCTTCCGTGCTAATACAAATATATGAGTTGGAAACACAAGTATATTTATAAGAACATCTACCACCACCAAAAGGATAAATTTTTCAGCTCCCCGTCAATAACACCCAGCGCCTCCTCTGCCTCAACCTGCAGCCGAGAATCCGAAGAAGGAATTGATACCCGTGTCAGCTACGGCGATAAATGCTTATCAACCATACTACGCTTGGACAGGGAACACAACATGTTTGGTCTCTCTAACATAGCCATAATTGGAACGAAAACATCACGACGAAATCGCAAAGATGAGAAACCTGCTTTTCCTCAGACTGCAATAGTACAAGTCTGTTGTGG